CTACTACTACTACTACTACTACTACTACTACTACTACTACTACTACTACTACTACTACTACTACTACTACTACTACTACTACTACTACTACTACTACTACTACTACTACTACTACTACTACTACTACTACTACTACTACTACTACTACTACTACTACTACTACTACTACTACTACTACTACTACTACTACTACTACTACTACTACTACTACTACTACTACTACTACTACTACTACTACTACTACTACTACTACTACTACTACTACTACTACTACTACTACTACTACTACTACTACTACTACTACTACTACTACTACTACTACTACTACTACTACTACTACTACTACTACTACTACTACTACTACTACTACTACTACTACTACTACTACTACTACTACTACTACTACTACTACTACTACTACTACTACTACTACTACTACTACTACTACTACTACTACTACTACTACTACTACTACTACTACTACTACTACTACTACTACTACTACTACTACTACTACTACTACTACTACTACTACTACTACTACTACTACTACTACTACTACTACTACTACTACTACTACTACTACTACTACTACTACTACTACTACTACTACTACTACTACTACTACTACTACTACTACTACTACTACTACTACTACTACTACTACTACTACTACTACTACTACTACTACTACTACTACTACTACTACTACTACTACTACTACTACTACTACTACTACTACTACTACTACTACTACTACTACTACTACTACTACTACTACTACTACTACTACTACTACTACTACTACTACTACTACTACTACTACTACTACTACTACTACTACTACTACTACTACTACTACTACTACTACTACTACTACTACTACTACTACTACTACTACTACTACTACTACTACTACTACTACTACTACTACTACTACTACTACTACTACTACTACTACTACTACTACTACTACTACTACTACTACTACTACTACTACTACTACTACTACTACTACTACTACTACTACTACTACTACTACTACTACTTGACACAATCTTTATTAGGAAACTTGAAATGGAGATGTGAAACACAAATACAGCCATGTAGATGGAGCAGCAATGCAATACAATGTCCAAAAACTCAAGAATTCATTATCATGGGGCAATGTTGGGCAAATGTCTGTCAGGTACTATCACGCTCAGGCTGCCCGCAACCTGCACATCGTCGTGAAATTCATCCTGTTGCGGCGGTATGACGATCTTGAACCCCGCAAACAGGTGACTGCCCATCGCATAAGGCAGACTGACAGCTTACAACGGAGCTGACCCATGATAACCGATACGTGTAGGTCGACGTTCTTCTCAGCAATCAGGCATGCCAGTGTCTTCAGTGCCATTGAGCATTCTCTGCCAATCATGCCCGAGGTAGAAAAAACTAGCGGTGTAAACGTACCTCTGTCAACTGCTGTCACCCGCTCTCCGTACTGGCGCTTCTTCATCCGTTCATGCGTTCGGAGCTGGCTGATGACTTCCTGACGCGACAGCAAGCTTGCCTTTGGGTGTGTAACCCGGATGTCGAAAAAGGCATCTTGCTGTCTCGTCCAGAAGCCACAAGCCCGGATGTCCAGGCGGGCACCTGCCGAGCGGTTGGCTGTCCTCCCTTGGAGCCGCTCACCATCATATGGTAGTAGAGGCGGTTCCACCTCCACATCCCGGACCGCCTCACGCATCACGTCAGCCAACAAGTCCCGGATCTCATTGTGGCGTGCCATGGGGTAGCCCCCTGCCGGACACATCATCGCATGGTCTATTGTGTTTGCAGCACCACATACACAAGTCAGGGGGAGTCCGTCAGGCTGCAGGCCGTAGCGGATGCAGAACGCATCTCGGAAATCCGATTTGTTCAGCACCATCTGCATTTGGGACGATGGTTCCGCCGTTACCCAAGATGATACGCCCTTTTCCGCGGCATTCTCCACCAACAGCGCCTGTGTTGCTGTCAAATCCGGGCGCAATTCGCTAACGAGACCCGTGGCTTGGGCAGCTTTCTCTCTGCGAATACGCCCGGCCTCCTGCCGGCTGAGGGCCATTGCCTCGTTCAGCTGGTCTGTTTGAGTAGTTTCGTTGGTGCTTGTTGGATGTTCTGGTGGTCTTATGCAGGCCGCCACAGGAGCCACAATCTGTCTGGATGCAGAAAACTCTTTCTCGGCCTCCACCGAGGGCACAGGGATTGCCATGCCACCAAACCGCGCTGGTAGCGATAGCAACTTTCTCAGTGCCGACTCGTCCGAACACGAATGGCCGCTGAGCGCTGGCAGCAGCTTGTCCGTAATGGCGGCGTCGAGACGGGCCAGAAGATGCGCAGGGCAAGATAGGACGCGCAAGTGGTACCGCCACTTGGACACGAGGCCCTTTACAAACACCTCGTACGCAGCATGTGGCTGAGTGGTGGCCACCTCCGCCAGGCGATCAACCTGCAGCGTCCACTTGTCGATCAAATCTGTGATATACTCCTCACAGAAGACCGTTGTACCGAGTGCGCCGCCAAGATAACGAGCACCCTCGGTCACAACACGAATGCCCGTGTCCCTGAAAAGCTGGAGTGCCAGGGCCGAATGCTGCTCCTTGACAATTAGTGTTGTCTTGTTCGCGTTAGGGTAGTACCCATACCCAGGGCCATGCTCCAGAATCCCATCCCAGTACTGCCTTAGATTGAGGAGCTGTCCGCCACCAGCATCGTCATCAGCATACCATAGCTGCACCACGTCGGGGCAGCACTCTGACAGCTTGTCTATCAATGGCATCATGGCGACCGCGTATATCGCCATGGCGAGAGGATCACCTTGGCAGGTACCCTCCTGACTCCTTATCTCTCCACCACCCGACACAAACAGGCGGCATGGACTGCTGTAGGTGTTCTTGAACACCTGCCCCAGGGCAGGGCAGACGAGTGGCACGTTGTGTAGGGCTGCTGTGCGGTTCATAGCGTTGAAAGCGTTGGTGGCATCGACCAAGAGCACACCCTCCACCTCCGGCGAGACAAGCATGTCGGTCATCGTATGCACGGCAGCTTCACACCCAGACGGAACACCAACACAGAGTTGACGAGGGGCTGTGGCGTGCATGGCGTCATGGCGTAGTGGCGTAGTAGTAGTACTTACTACTACTACTACTACTACTACTACTACTACTACTACTACTACTACTACTACTACTACTACTACTACTACTACTACTACTACTACTACTACTACTACTACTACTACTACTACTACTACTACTACTACTACTACTACTACTACTACTACTACTACTACTACTACTACTACTACTACTACTACTACTACTACTACTACTACTACTACTACTACTACTACTACTACTACTACTACTACTACTACTACTACTACTACTACTACTACTACTACTACTACTACTACTACTACTACTACTACTACTACTACTACTACTACTACTACTACTACTACTACTACTACTACTACTACTACTACTACTACTACTACTACTACTACTACTACTACTACTACTACTACTACTACTACTACTACTACTACTACTACTACTACTACTACTACTACTACTACTACTACTACTACTACTACTACTACTACTACTACTACTACTACTACTACTACTACTACTACTACTACTACTACTACTACTACTACTACTACTACTACTACTACTACTACTACTACTACTACTACTACTACTACTACTACTACTACTACTACTACTACTACTACTACTACTACTACTACTACTACTACTACTACTACTACTACTACTACTACTACTACTACTACTACTACTACTACTACTACTACTACTACTACTACTACTACTACTACTACTACTACTACTACTACTACTACTACTACTACTACTACTACTACTACTACTACTACTACTACTACTACTACTACTACTACTACTACTACTACTACTACTACTACTACTACTACTACTACTACTACTACTACTACTACTACTACTACTACTACTACTACTACTACTACTACTACTACTACTACTACTACTACTACTACTACTACTACTACTACTACTACTACTACTACTACTACTACTACTACTACTACTACTACTACTACTACTACTACTACTACTACTACTACTACTACATGTACTAAAAATCACGATTCTTTCACTGATTTGCATGATGATTGCACAATCTTCACTTGACCCTGCACTTAAAAAAAAGTATCCCACTAGTCTAGATTGTAGTCTGTCCTACTGCTACAGTCATCATGGCATTACTCAGCTTACTGTCTGTACTGTGTCACAGGGTGTGTGTGGTGGGTTGATCTGGGGGCACAATTAATTCATTTTATCATAGGTGAGCAGAGCCTGCGCTGCATGCTGTGTCTGCATGGCCATGATGACTGTAGCATAGCAGCAAGAGTACATAACCCCCCCCCCCCCCCCCCTTATGACTTACTGTACTCTTGTCAGTCTTGAGTCTTGGTAGCGGTAGAGTACGACTCGTAGATCTACTACTACTACTACTAGAGAGCTGAGCAGGTGAGTGGTGTGTTGTTGAGTGTAGACATGTAGTCCTGACTCCTGTACTACTGTGGCAGTGGTAGTCAGTGCACTGACATTGCACTGACATGACTCGACTGCAAGTTTTCATGTACTCTTGCTCGACTGTGATCTCGCCATACCTACCCGTCCTTGTCCATAGTGATACGCTTCCGTGACAACATCATGTCAAGTACGGTACAAATCTGCCAGCCTAGCCAGCCATCGCGACTTGGGCAGTGTTCTTTCGCAGATGTTTCCAGAAAGACACACGACATAACCATGATAACATCCAGGCGACCCTGGCTCGTGGACTCGTGGTGACATGTCAAACGATCGCATTCTACGCGAACCAAGTAGAGAAACTTCTGGAAGCAACAAACTGCTGCATGCTGCCTATCAGCTGTGCATCCATAAAAGCTCACACACACCAAGCAAACCATCAATCTACAAAGAAACTAACCAGTTGTCGGGTTGAGTTCAGGCTAGTCAGTGTCGACGGCTTCCTTCGTCGTGCGAACAAAGTTTCATTGAAGATGGGTAAAGAGGACATGCTTCTGTACTGGGGGTCTGGTAGTCCGCCATGCATCCGAACAATGATTGCTTTAGAAGAGAAAGGCTTCAGTGGATATCCGCAGAAGCTAATCGAGTTCGGCAAGAAAGAGCACAAAACCGAGGAGGTGCTGGCATTGAATCCCCGTGGTCAGGTACTGAGTATGCCAATGACGGTGTATAATTATTTCGGTCTGCTCAATGAATCAATTCCCTCAAACATTTTCTGCTTTTTGTTATCATCCCGAATTCCCAATTCCCCGCGGCCCGGAGTCATAAAATACAACTCCCTGATAATACTTTTAATATCACCAGTAATGCAGTATGCAACTACTAGATCAGTAGAAGCTATGTGCAGTGAGTCATGTGTACAATAGTCAATAGCTGCAATGCCATGGTGTGGATCTAGCACTAGCAGATCAACACAGTCACGACCTACTTGACTGCACAGCATGAAGCCACAAGTACAGACTAGACTGGCACTCAGTCAGTAGGTCGACTTTTATTGTACAACTACATTGTTATTTGTATGTACCAATGAATCCAAGGCACCATGCTGGGGATTGCCCAGGGTGTGAAACACTGGAGAGCCTGAGGATTTACTAACTCGATTGTTGGATTTTATGCTCACCCTGTGTAGGTGCCGGCATTCAAAGATGGTGATGTGATAATCAACGAGTCCTATGCTATCATCCATTACCTGCAGGTGAGATACCACCACCATGTACACAGACACGATGGTGGTACGAACCCAGGTGTGTGGTTCAAGACGGATATTTTCTAATGGAGGGGAATCGGAATACTCTTCCCAGCTCTTCTTCCAATCATCATCTGCCTTAGTTATGATCTCGATTATGCGACTGCATCTGCAGCTAGCTGCGCATCAATAAATTATAGACGGGTTGGACGGGTGGTCGGTGTATGTGCCACTTGTGACACTGCATTATTGGAACATGCTCTTTTGGTCATTAACTATATACTGTACATGTACCCAATGTTCCCAGACGGGCTTTATCATGACGGCTTGTTGTTGTTGTTGCTAACAGCATCGATATCCTGACAGTGGTACCAATCTATTGCCAGGTGATTGCAAGCAGCAAGGCTTCGTTCTGCAAAGATACTACGAGGTACAGTACCGCAACCACTTGCCACTGTTTGTCACTGTTTGTCCATACATGCAAGGCTTTTTTTTACACGTATCTCTATTCTCGACTCACAATGTCGTAAAATAAAACAAATCATGGTTCACGTGAGATTCGGGTATACTGACTTTTTCTCATGCATAGGAATGCCACCACCACCACCCAGGACCAAAGCTGCAATTTCATATTTTCGTAACGCAAACTAGTATTTTGCGTACTGTGTAACTTTTGAATGATATCATAGTGACCAGTAACCGTCTATTTACCGTGCTGTTATGTTTTAAATGCATCTGTATGTTTGTGTGCATGCTGGTGTGCATGCTTGCGCGTGTGTGCACGTGTCTGTTGCAGGTTCAAGCTGCCTTCTACCCAAAGGTCCTTGACCTGTTCAAGACTGTCATGAACAAGGAGGCAACAGATGAGGCAAAGGCGAAGAAGGGAGAGGAGCTGGTTGAGGAGGCAACAAGATTTGATGCGTACCTGAAGGATGTGAGTCTCCTGTTCGGATTTGCTCCAATGTACTACAGTTTGAAGTAGTAGTGGATGCATAGTGTTGTTGACTCAGTAGTCAGCACTGCACAAGAATTTATCTTAGTCGTCACTGGAATGCTTATCGTGATGGGGCTCGATTTCATCTCATGGCTTATCGAAGGGTACATTATGATTGTATTCTCTGGATGCGTTTGTTCGTCCCGGTTCTTCTGTAAAAAACTTGGACGGTTCTTGCCGGGAATACTATGCCATGTGTCTGTCTATCACTGGTTGCGCGAGGTTGTGCACTGCCGCTCATCCATGGAGAATGCTTGCAAAGTGATAGTCTTGTTCAATTTTCTGATAATTGTTTGAGTAAGAAACTCAGTGAGACACTCAGTGAGACACTCAGTGCCGGCAACAAGGTTCCAGTGAGTAAAGTATAGTAGTGGTCAATGAAATCCAGTCGAGTTTCTCAAGTACGCGCAGGGCGTTGCGCAGCCCTAGACCTGCCAACACTGGGCTGCGAAAAGGTGCGGCACAGCGCCACCGTGACTTGACCAGTCTTGCGACTGGATTTCATTGAGCAGCACTGTACCTTTCTTTGGTTGTGTGCTACCATGACAACGTCATTATTTTACTATTCATGTTATTTATCTCTCCATGTGCAGGGTACATTCCTAGCTGGAGATCAGTTCTCTATGGCTGATATTGATTTCATCACGATCCTGCTGCTTCTCGATCGACAAGAATTCAAGCTAGAGGGACGTTTCCCAAACATGTTCGCTTATTGGCAGCGTCTTAAGGACCGTCCGTCTGTTGTTGCCTCGTATCCCCCTCATTTCAAGACGAGCGAATCAACCCGCTACTTTGCCAGTTGTTGAAGCTATTACTTCATGACACGCTTTCCGTATGTGCACGTGTGTGTGTATGTTTAGACTAGTCGTACTAGCTGCTATTGTTTTTGTTGCCGTGCCTGGCATCATGCTATTATCGGCCAGCTTGAGTTTTGAGTGCTTTGGCATATCCTGCGTGACATGTGTCCACTGCCTACTGAACTGTGTGTGTATTCGTGTGCTAGACGACTCGTGAGCCGATGAACATATTTTCTACTCGTTATCTTGATATCTGCTGTACCCCTGTCAGACAGCGTAGCTAGCAGCTATGTCGCCATGCACCACTAGCGGTGATGTGTATCATCTGTATCAGCTTACTCTTCCAGCTTGTCATAGTCCCTGTAGTTGTCACTTTAAAAACAACGCCCATCATTTTATTTTTCTCCATGCCCAGTTTTCCTGTTGTGCTGTGGTTTATTCCACTTTATGCCACCTTATACCGCTTGTTTTACCTTTTCTTTTTTATGATGATTTTATTCATATACACAACAGTGATTGATTCCACGTGTTGATGTGTAAGAGTGAGCATGTGGACACTGTATATCACGTGTGTGCGTTGCGCTAGTCTTGATCTGTTTCAGTCAGATCTTCTCGTCTGCTGTCGTTGGTATAAGAGGGAATCTGTGGGTGTACATTCAGTGCACTTGCCGATTTGCTTGCTTCTCTTGTGACGGATGTATAATTATGGTGCACGCACGCGTGTGTGTGCACGCGCAGCACGCCCACATTTGTACAGTCCTGCTCAATGAAATCCGTTCGATCAAGTCCATACCATCACGCCAGGCGGGGTGCAGTCCCAGATATGCGAACCGTGACCATGGTGAATGGGATGTGAATTGGTGCATGCGTGCAGGGCGCAAACTTGATTCACGCAATCGGATTTCATTGAGCAGTGTCCTATGTCAGCGCTTGCGGTACGTGTAGTCGACTTCCAATCGAAGGGTCATTCCACACAATTTTTTTCTTTCCTCTCTTTCCCCTACATTAATCTCTGTCTCGGAAAAAGAGCGTTTTATATGCCAACCTCGCAAATATTTTGATTTTATTACTTCTAGAAAACCGGATTACGTAATCATTAGTTCTGCGCGACTACTACATGATAGTTTTTCGATTTTGACAGCATGTTACAAGGCGAGGACGCGTAGTGCTCCTGACTACAACCATAACCCGGTTGGCAGAGTCCCGGTCTTGCGACCATTTGAACCGTATTGGGAAAACCCAGGTTCGGACCCTCGTTACTCTACGGGTTGGTAGGATTTTTATAATTTTCGTTTTTTGTGTTGTAGAAGTCGTCATGTTGCCTCTGCCAACCGGGTTATGGTTGTAGTCAGGAGCACTACGCGTCCTCGCCTTGTAACATGCTGTCAAAATCGAAAAACATGTTCCAAGCAAGGCTTCCGTGTATATACATGATAGTCAGTGTAGAGCTACAGTCCATTCATAAAAAGATGGGCTCTGGCTCTGGCGAGCTCCCGTATTTGGCGATTTTTCGTGATTTCATCGTGCAGTGCTGCGAAATTTGAAATTTGAAAAAGGGTCCAAAAAGGGTACCTGAACTGGGGTTCGAACCGCACAATGCAATGCACGTTTGCAGGCAGGGTCAAACGGCCTGGATTTTTATGGTTTTTCCTAATTCAGTGCTGTTGGGGAAAAACCTGGCCGAAATTCTATTCTTGTTATGGCTTGCTTTTTGGACAAAAAAACTTCAGAAACATAATGGATTCCATAAGGGATTGCAGAAAAAAATTCTAAAAAAACTCAAAGTTTGACCCATTTATATGGCCAAAAGCTAGAAGTCCATCTTTTTCTGAATGGACTGTAGCTGTGCACGTGCACGTGCAAGACGACTCTTCGAAGGCTGGGACGAAGCTTCCAAATCGGACCAAGGCCAAGCAAAGCCAAGGCCTGAACCATTACACGTGAGCGAAATCGACACTACAACAAGAACATACCTTCTGGAAACATCGATGATCGACCAGCGAGGAAAATCAGCCTACCTGCCGCTGATGTACCGGTAGCCAGGAACAAGTACAAGGCCAGTCCATCGTCGACGTCCCGTACTGGCACAACCAGAGTCAGACAACACGACCACACCAGACTGCACGAACAGCGTTACAGAACAGTCACGATAAAGAGTCTTGAGCTGAACTTTGTTCAAGTCCAGTCACGATCACCAGGTAGATCTACTCACGGCTAGGTCATTTTGTAAGGTCAAACAGTTGCCAGTAGCTGAGCAGTAGCAGGCGGGCAGGCAGAATGGGTAAAGAAGATATGTTTCTACTCTGGGGATCAGGCAGCTCACCCTGCATGCGTGTGATGATTGCGCTGGAAGAGAAGGGATTTAGCGGCTATGCGCAGAAGAAACTGGATTTCAGCAAAGGCGAACACAAAGGTCCTGAAGTTCTGGCGTTGAATCCACGTGGTCAGGTAAACACCATACAAGTTAGAATCCATGATCTAACTACAAAAACAATTCTATGGCCCATTTGTTTTATTGAGGGTGGATGCGTGAACTCTGCAAATGTTGTCACAAAACATTGTTTTGCTAGTATTGTGGGCCATGGCGTGGGTACGAGTAGTACTGAGTCTGGGCATGCCGAGCGGAGGCAGCCGGGAGCAACGAATGGACCCCAGCCCCGGGCCGGCCTAGGCGGTCTACGCCCATATGCACACATGCCGCCGCCACTGGAACAATTTCATCATGGATTGGTACATGTACTTGCCCGTCTTGCCGGGGCCAGAGAAGGGGGGGGGGGGGTCGATCCATTCTCCTGCTCCCTGGTGTAACGTTATACAAGCCAGTCCATGCAGATTTTCACTACTGGCTGATTGAAGCCTGCGATGCCGGTCTAGCAGAGTTGAACACCACCCAGCTCGCCCAGCAGTACACCCATTGCCAATACGTTCCCCGTAGGTCTATACACCACCCATTGCCGCTGACTCATATTGGCAGACACTAGTGCCACTAGGAGAGCGGTGACCGTATCACCATGGCAACGCTCCCGGTGTGTTGTTAGTGGTGGGAGTGTGAGCTCAGTCGGTATTACAATCACGTAGTACTTAGTGCATATGCCATTGTTTCTTGCTGTGGTCTTTGTCACTATCTTTGTCAGGTTCCTACCTTCAAGGACGGTGATCTCGTTCTGGGAGAGTCCTATGCAGTTCTGCATTACCTGCAGGTAAAGTAGCATCCTCATCCACTAACAGTCTCTCATCTGCTAGCTACTGACATACATGCCATGATGGACATATACCAGCTGGTTACATGTACTTGTCAACTTGTCAACAATCTCCAGGCCAGTCTGGTTTGTTGCCGCTAACGCGTAGAAGCAAGAGTACATAAACCAGAGTGTGCCACTCGGGATGGTTCCTGTGGGAGCGTAATTCGTGCAGTACGTCATTTCTGACGGCATGGTAAGCCACAGGTACGGTGAAAAGTTGCGTAACCAGTCGCGGTGGTGCAGGTCACTGAGTTTGTCCTGATTTCGGTTTTTTGATACGGATAGCCTGGTGACTTTACTTGTCGGTGGATGTACGCAGCGTACACAGTCAGACAAAACACCGAAATCCTGAAACTGGATGTCTAAAATCAAGCAAACTTGGCTGATTTCCGGGCTATGAAACATGAAAATTTGAGCTGTACGCAAGTCGCGGCTTCGCTGACCTCATCAGGGTGACGTAGTGCACGAACTGCGCTGTTTCAGATCTGATATGCACAGTTGCACACTCTGGTTTATGTACTCTTGGTAGAAGTAGTAGTCTCGCTCTTGTCACTTATGCAGTTTTATGGCCAGAGGCGATTCATTGTAGTGATATATTCCATGTTCCATGCAGGCATATGTCTATGACTGTGTGCTGTGTGTACCCCATAGCACCGCTATCCAGACAGTGGTAACAACCTGCTACCTGGATCAGCCAAGGAGCAAGGCAAGGCACTACAGCGTTACTATGAGGTACATCATAGGGCATGCAGGGCATGTACTGGACTGGCTCAGTTCAGAATAGATACTCACGGCTAGGCTAAGATAGTCACATGATCATGGTGATGTCACATGATGTCACATGATGTCACTCACCAGGAGCAGAACTGCAGACTGACCTTCAAGTGTTTGTGGACCTGTATCTGACGCCTCAGTAGTCCGAGAGGATAGGGTAGTGCCCCTGGGAATGGCATGGTGTTCCGGTGGATGGGATGACGTCCCTGTGGATGCAGACACAGTTGACATGACTTCTAGCATGGAGTTCACACATATATTAACAATACAGCGACATCACAGGCAACCTTGACAACACTACAGTCAGGTCAGTCAGTCTGAGTCAGTCTGAGTCAGATAATGATAAAGTGACTGGACCATTGCACAGAAACTGAGACGGAAGTGATCACGACTGAGTCTCTGACTGAGTTAATGATAGCTTGCATGCCGTCCTACCGGTAGGACCACGGGTCCTACCGGTAGGACCCAAGAAATCGCGCTGCAAAAGTGCTTTTGGTTGAGAAATTTCTTGAAACAATTGTTGAGATGAGGTCTTTGTCAGGCAAAGTAATGGCGCAAAATGCAAGACTATGTCCAGTGCATTGCATACGCGCAATTTTATCAATTGTCAAAATGGCCGCACATACTCCTGTCGGAGCGCTAGCAACTCTGTCCAAAGTGAATTTTGACCATGGCACATCAATCGTGGTGAGGTACTAATGTTTTTATTAGTCTACCAAGGCAGTGGAGTGCATAATTCCATACACCGTTTCCATGGTTACCATTTGCTGTTACCATGGAATTTCGTACTATGCCTTGTGCGATCACGTCTAAAATGTGTGGACTCCTTCATTAGCCCCTGAGCAACAGTTTAGGGTCAAGTTTTAGGCCAATGTTACAACAATGGCCATGCAGCATGTCTGTGTATGATGGTCCTACCGGTAGGTCCTACCGGTAGGACCGAGGTCTATGCAAGCTATCATTAACGTTTCCACCATCCTGTTCAGAAAGTGTAGGCAGTCTCCTGTGGATTGTATTACAGGACAGCATGAAACTCTGAGTAGAAAGTCACTGAAATTCTTCCTCTGGACCTTGTCTGCACAGGGACATTAGAAATCATTTTGTTGCAGTTGCTTTGTGGCTCATGACGTGCAGAACATTACGGAGACAGTCGTCGGCGTTGGAAAACTTGCATTGCATGGTATTCAGCAGCAGCATCATGGACTTAGGCTGTGTTTACATGAGAAATTTCAACCCGGGTTGAAAGTCTGTACGATAGACAAAAGAGGTGAGCGTTTACATGAAGACAGTTGACCCGGGTCAAATACTGATATGCCGCGAAAAGTCCACTTCTACAGTCCTGTATGGTCACGTGAATCCGTTCGCGCAAAATTTGCATATGCAGTGCTGTTCAAACCTGGCGCGAGATACGCACAGAAGTACGTTTGTACGATTTTCTTGACCTGGGTTGATTTCAACCCTCCCCTTGTGGGGAGGGTTGGAAATCAACCCGGGGCGAAATTTCAACCCGGGTGAAGCGCAATGCGTCATGTAAATGCGCCATTCATTTTGTGCACATGGCGAGTTGAAATCTGACCCGGGTTGAAACGCCTCATGTAAACACAGCCTTAGCCACATGGGCTGCATGCTGGTTCTGTGAAGCGCGGTGATTGCACTCAGTTTGGCATCATGTCTGTAGACCTATAATGTCTGAGACCTATAGATGTAGAATTATCAGGGCAACCGGTAGTTGGATACACTGCACTGTATTGTGTCCTGCACATGACAGATCAATCATCTGAATAACTTGTCAAGATTGCTAACTGTACACTCGGGCATGATGTGGCTGGACATGTATACCACTGCTACTACTGCCCTGTGTTGCGGCCGTAGCTACAAGCTACACTCTGTACATTACTATATACATGTACATGTACATACTAGTACTGCCCTGTATACTGCCCTGTGCTGCGGCCGTAGGTACATGACATGACTGTACATGACTGTATGCTACTACTGCTGCTGCTGCTGCTACCCTGTGCTGCTGCCGTAGATACAAGTTACACTGTCAGCGCCGTACTATGCTCTCTATCTTGCCATTATGTTCAAAAAGGAGCCGCAGGTACATACCCGTCATTGCCGAGGTTTCTGTGCACGTGTGTATGTGTGTATGGATGCGTGTGTGCATGTGAGTGTGTATGTGTGTATGTGTGTATGGGTGCATGTGAGTGTGTAGGCGGGTGTGTATGTGGGTGTGGGTTTGTGGATGTTTACATACATTTAGTAATTAGCAGTTGATTGATGTTGCATGTTGCTTGACTCTGAATATGACTTGCCGGCTGTGAAACTCTATCGACGGCGCAATCCTGATGGATAGGTGCAGGCAGCACTGCAGCCAGAACACACAGCACTTCTCAAGGCAATCGTCTATGATAAACAACCGCAGGTATTATGTCTACTGAACACAGTGTGGCTGCTGTCGCTATCACTGCCTCTACTGCAGCCTACACCACCCACCGCTGCCAGGGTGCACACATGCGAGCAGTGTGTGTGTTGTCGCTATCACTGCCTCTACTGCAGCCTACACCACCCACCGCTGCCAGGGTGCACACATGCGAGCAGTGTGTGTGTTGTCGCTATCACTGCCTCTACTGCAGCCTACACCACCCACCGCTGCCAGGGTGCACACATGCGAGCAGTGCCATGGTGTGTGTGTGTTGTACTAACCCTATAGACTAGTAACAGCGTTCCCGGACTATGCCGCAGTAGTACATGTACATGTTACCAGCCATCACTGCTGCTACTGCTGTTGCTGCTGCTACAGTAAGATCGGGCGCCGAAGAACACCTCGCCGAAGAACACCCAGGCTGGAAAACCGGCAAAATTTAAGAACAGTCCAGGCTAGAATTATCAGATTTAAGAACACTTTTAAAATTTGGAATATCCACATGAGTGCAGTATTTAACTACATGTACGTTGTCATACATGTACTTACACGAAGTTGCGAATTTACACGTAGATCTACATTGTACATGTATGGGAGGTGAGTACATGTCATGTACACGTGTAAACAGTAACTGCTACATGTACAGTCATTCCCATTTACGACACCCACTAGTTTAGAAGTACTACATTGCACTACATGTACATGTACATGTACATGACAAACGTCATGACGTCACTCGACTCGCCGCGCGCGTGTGAATAAGAACGGTCTGGCTAGAATCAAAAATTTAAGAACTTTCCTAGGCTGCGCTCGAGCCCCTGCGTTCTTCGGCGCCCGATCTTACTGTACTGCTGTTGCTGCTGCTACTGCTGCTGGTGTTGCTGTGTAAATATACCACCACAGTATTGTTGGCATTCTGATCGTGAATACAAACATGCATGCCGGGTTGCAGCTGCGTTGCGCCAAGAGTACATAACGTACTCTTGGTTGCGCCTGGAACATGCAGTGTGTAGTGTGTAGTACCTGGGACCTGTGTTGTAGTACTTGCAAGAAGTATTACATCGTACTTTTTCGCGAGTCGTCCCAGCTGACTGTGGGGGGGGGGGGGGGAGGAGGATTTCACGCACAAGTGCTTGATCTCAGCTAGCCTCTGCCCCACTACCCTTGTCTTGATGTGTGACATGTATACAAACACATCACTTACACCTCTGTTCCTGTCCCGCTCTCTCTCCTTTCCTCTCTCTTGGACTGGGCTCTGGATTTGCAGGAGGAAGTGCAGAAGAAAGTTGATGCCTTCCTCAAAGAGATGAAGACATTTGACGGCTACTTGGCTGAGGTAAGCCCCGACTATCCTGCTACCCAGGCATGGATGCATTCAGGTAGGCATACACTATAGACGTGCCTGTGCTGTAAGCCGCCGAAAGTCAATAGCATTTGCCAGCCATCTGGCTCAGGAAAAATTCGACGGTGAAGGTTTGCGATGAAATAGGATCACTGAGGAAAACACTACACGAGTATTATACAACACAGTCATATTGATACTATCATACAATACATACAGACACATGTAGGCATCATCACTGCTACCTGTATGGTCAAGATGTGGGCAAGATAAGCGGCATATCACATATTCCATAAATCCGTTGTGTGCTGTTGTCAATACATTGTAGTGATTGTAGTGATTGTAGTGAATAAGTAGTGTCCTGTGCGGTCTGTCTGTTCTGCTGTGATTTGGTCTATTTGTGTTGTACTTGTACTGTAGAGCAAGTTTGTAGGTGGCGACAGCTTCAGTCTGGGCGACATCGACATGATGGTAATACTGACAATGTGTGAGCGGCAAGCACTCAATGTAAAGGAGAAGTTTCCAAACATGCATGCGTACTACGAGAGGAACAAGGAGCGGCCTTCAATCGCCGCGTCATACCCACCACATTTCAAGACGAGCGACTCTCCCAAAATCCTGGCAAGCTTCTAGAGTGCTTGCAGCCAGCGTTATTGTTTCCAATGACAGACACATACGCATTGGTCTTATTATACAATCATGTCATTATTCGGTTGGTGAAATGGACAGTTTGAGAGATTACCTCCCCTTACCCACTCTCTACACACTGTTGACGAATACACAAGTTTTGTGTTTCATTTTGAAAACTGAGCTTTCTGCAAACTGTTCTTGTGAGTGTCCAACACTAATCTCTGCACCAATATCACTGAGGAGCAAGACGCTAGCAACAGCTGTAAGAAATGGGAGTAACTTTAGTGCTCAATGTGTCAGCACTGCATGGTTATATGGTCACTAGACTATGGAGTGGTGATTTTACTACTCCCTGGTATAGACTATGGAGCTATTTGTGTATAATTCGACGGCCTGCTAGCTGCTGCTCAGTGTTAGCAAGAGTCCATGGGGGGTTATGGACTCTTGGTGTTACAAGGACGTTTCACACCACAACGAAACGGCTTGATTCTGGCAAGTGCAAGCTCTCAAGTGTATTTCCACACACCCAAACCCTCAAGGTGTGGTTTCATCCTGGAATGAAACTTGTGGACATGTACTTGAAGTATGCGACAACTGAAAGTTTTTTTTGTTTTTTCAAACCTGTTCTGGCCCAATAACGTAAAGGCGAATATGGAAGGAAAGGAAATAAATGGCAGGAAGAAAAATCACAAAGGATAGCAAGTGAGCAATTTAAATGGCAAGAACACCTGCTTCCACAACCACTAGCTCAGCAGAAACAGCAGCAGGTGCTGCAGGAGTGATCATGCTCCTTGCTCCACACAAACACATAATACAGGATCTCAGCAAACTGGCAAAGCTTAGATCATGCAGATGGCAGCCGATATGCGCGATGACTGCGCTGTAATGCTCAGTGGACTTGGCAGAGAGTAGGCAAGCAAAGCGCTTATAGTTATACAGGGCAGAGGCACATTTGCTCATTCCTCCGCTTGTGGAGAACACCGCACGGACAAAAGAAGCATGCTTGACATGCTGGATGCGGTGTTCGTACGCCTGCTTCTTCTCCTTCTCATGCTTGACATAGCAGGCAGCAAGTGGTTTGGACCAATTCAAAGACGCATAAGGGTTAAACTGACACCTGTACATCAATAAAGGTGCGTTCGAATCGGCCTCCCCAAATGTCACTCGCTGCCACGTCAAGCCGAGCCTGGTCATCCGCGATGGCTGCGAGATACCGGAGGTGCTCACCTGACAGGGGTTGCAGATGAGGTTCAATAGACACTAGTTGGGCTACTTGCTTGAGCAGCCTAGCGGTAATGCCGCGGACCTCGTTGTGCCTGATGGTGGGAAATCCTCCAAGGGGCACGACAACGACAGAGCATGTTGCACAATGAAAGTGCTTCCACACTTGCAGGACCGTTGCCAGCCGTTGTGAGAGACAACCATAGCGTAGGCAGATGGCATCGCGAAACTCGCCTTTGGTGAGAGTGAAGCGATGACGGCGGAGAGGTAGGCAGGTCAGCAAGTTTTATGAGCCTTTCTCAGAAGATAGCTCAACGGATCGCTGAAGATCCGGCCCAACAGACACAGAGAAAGCGAGGGCACGAGCCCTGGTGGCATCCCGGGCAATGGATATGATGCGACTCTTGGCTTGATAGATCTGCGCAACAGCATTGCCAAGCCTGGGCTCATGCCTCAGGCTGCGGTGGATGATAGCATAGGACACGCTGACGGAGGACCCATACTGTGGGGCAATGGAGGACGGGGCAGTGAGGCCGAGACCACCATGACGACATGGCAAGGAGATCATTTCGCGCTGTAGGAGAGCCGGGATGAACTCGTTGGTGATGGAATCGTCCAATGGCACCAGGTACTGTGCGATATCTGGCATGGTTCGACATAGAAATGTCCATTTCCCGTGCAGACCACGAACAAGAGCTGCGTTTGACGATTGCGGCTGAGTAACGGCGATGACCCTCAGTCTTTTAACTTGATCCACCCAGGACCCAGGAGTTGACCTCTGTGACGTAAGTGTTGACGAATTCAGGTGAACCAATAGCAGCTCCAAGATACCTCACTCCATCTGACTTGATCTTGACCCCGGTACCTGCAAACATCTCACAGGCTGTAGCATAGTGCTGGGGCTTCACAACGAGTACGGACTTCACTGCGTTGGGGTAGTAGCCAAACCTTGGGCCAAGGCGAAGCAAATTATTCCACCAAGACCGCAAAGGTGCAAGCTTGCCTCCGGACCCAGCATCGTCCGCAAACCAGGCCTGGACTGCTCCTGCTGTTGAGACGGCCTTGATGAGCGGGACTATACCTATGGCGTACATTGCCATGGCAATGGGGTCACCTTGCGCCGTCCCTTCGTGGCTCAGGAGAGGTGCAAGTGACGGGCACAGGTGGCGGATGTTCTGGAGACAGACCTCACGATTTAGGCTGCTAAAACCATTGGATGCATCGGCTAGGAGAACACCGTCAGAATCAGGGCTTTCGAAGGTGACCCGCATTGCGTGGATGGCTGGTTCAAGACTGAAAAGTTAGCATATTTCCATTGTCTAATAAAGTTTGCATGTTTCCATTATCTAATAATCCTGGAATCAAGAGAACATAAACCGGTTTATGTACTCTTGCTGGAATGAAATGAACTCCATGTAAACAGACCCTGATCGCCCCCCCCCCCCCTCCCCCCCCCCCCCACCCCCACCCCCACAATGAAGGTGCGCGCGCACGCATACATCCACGCACAAACACACCAACACACAAACACAAAGCCAGCAATACTCGTCAGTTACTAAAGTCAATTCTTGCTTTTTTATTATATGATGGATCAAGTCAGTGGTCTGGGAGATAAAAGAAAGTTTCATGAAACGCACACTACTATACGCTGTATACGAAAACAGTTAGACAGTCGATGTGAGGTCACCAGAGCCTAGTGGAAGCAGTGCCAAACACACTGAGCTGAGTGTGAGCAGAGCAGAGCAGAGCCTTTCCAACGACTTGTGCAGCCATGGTGGTGGTAGGCAGCAGTGGCAGCGTACGGCTTGACCATGTTCTAGAAATCAGGGTTAGTTTGGTGACTTTTGCCATGGCAACAGCAGCGCACCAGCAGCACGAAGAACAGTGGCAGGAAAAAGAAAAAAGAATATGTAGAAACCGCAAGGTGGTTGGGTTTTCAAAAAGTACCAGAGACGACTCGGAATTCAGTGAAGAAATAAATTACACATGGTAGAACCTGTAGAGCAGCGGCAGTCCAGTGCATGCATGCCCCTGTACATCAGCAGCTGCAGTAGTGCAGTGCATGCATGCCCACGGCGGTGGCGGTGCACTCGCTATCCGAGCAACGTCAAGAGACACTATCATCCAACAAAGGTAAACATATCGGCTGTGTGCATGTTGATGCTAACAGAAAACAGGCTGTAACCATGGTAACACATGACAACCAGTAAGAATAATGACGATGGGATGGCGGTACGAGCAGAGTACACACGAGCAGCTTACATGATGGCACTTGAAAGTAGACACGCCTCATTACGGTTGTGAAGCGATCGATGGCAGCAGTAGAGCATTTACATATCTCCATGTATGATAAAATGGTAACCGTATCCATTACAGCATTGGAGGAGAGGCGATAAGTTTTGTACAACACAAAGAGATATAAGTACAAATGTAGGCAGATTGTTTGGCGCATAGAACATAAAGCACGCAGCTACAGCCACTAAATACAGCTAGGAGTATTTACAGCAGTTGGCAAAGCTACAAAATAACAACAGCAGCAGCAGCAACACCAACAAGAACATGCCACTAAGAAAACCAGCACCAATAATAATCAGCAGCAGCAGCATCAAGAGTCTGTAAACACGTAACAGAAATGGCAAAAATAGACATCTTCTAGAAAAGCTGTACAGAAAGTATACAAGATTGACAATGACAGCGACGATGTGTACATCTAGAGGGGATTGCTATGGGGGACAGACACCGACTAGTACCTCACCGAAACAGATCAGGACGTGTACAAAACAGGTCTAAGTCGGGACGGGGTACCTCATAGAAAGAGGTCTATACAAGATGTCTACATGGCAAGCTAAAGAGACATGCAGTCGAGTTATAAGAACAGAGCAGCACAAGTCGTGAACAGGGTAACATAGCTGAGAGAGAGAGAGAGACCAGTCGCTACAAACCATCTGCAACGAGCCTTTCCACACCTTACTCTGATGGGAGTCAGAGGATATAGCAGTGTACATTGACAAAGAATTAGCACTGCAACGGAAACTAGGCGTTCACATTCACTGACATTGTCATGGTCACAGAACCGAGGAGAATACCACGGCATAGAGTGTTAACCAAGGCATAGCGTGTCAACCAAGGCATAGCGTGTCAACCAAGGCATAGCGTGTCAACCAAGGCATAGCGTGTCAACCAAGGCATAGTGTGTCAACAATTCACACCTTCGTCCTGTGAATTAGAACTCAAATGTCTCATCAGCCATGTCAATAGCCCACATGAACTTCTCGCGTTGTGTTTTGTTGTAGACCTTTTCGAGCGGCACCTCAAATTTCTTGCACCTGTTGTCCAAACACACGTACATGCACACACGCACATGCACACACACACACGTGCACACACACGCGCGCGCACACACAAACACACACGTACAGATACACATGATAATTACAAGCGGCTCTTGCGCAACCCTGACAATCTGTGAATCTCACTGGATAATGGCACACAAGGGAGCGCTTAATAACATCATCGTCATCACCAACACTCACCATGCAACAGAGATACGAGGATCAAGGTAGTTTAGCTTGGACGTGCCTAGAGCAATGGATTTGTTCTCATCCTGCACGTGCAAGAACGACAAGGAAAACATTCCAACAGGATAGATTATCAACAGCAGTTGGTGAAGTGTGCACTCGACTACTACTGACAACATAGCATCCCCCCTCCCCCCCCCCCCCATGACTTGTTACATATGAGTAGTGCAGCTGACAAGGAAGAGCACTGTCTACCATGAAGTTCTGTATATGCCCAATGACCACTGCACCATGTCCAATTTCCCAGGCACATTGCACTGCACCCACCATGTCCAATCCCCCCTCCTGTGCAGTCGCGGTCTGTGAAATCCGACCAAAGTGCAAAACTGGCACTGTGAACCAGTTCCAATAACTGTAAACCGCCCAATGTTTGTGTCACTACATGTTTGTGATCTCTTAGAACCAGCGAGTTTACGATGGCAAATGTTCGCGGAGCACTGAGGCCACACATATACACCCACTGCTGAAGTTTGATTTCACAATGGGTAATATTTCCGCTATGCTCTTCTCGCAAAATTGGCAAACATTAATACGTTGCAAACATTAGGCAGTTTACAGTACATGACTGCATTTGTACATGCGTACATCCAGTGGCATTTGTACATGCGTACATCCAGTGGCATTTGTACATGCGTACATCCAGTGGCATTTGTACATGCGTACATCCAGTGGCATTTGTACATGCGTACATCCAGTGGCATTTGTACCGCTTCCAGGGTGTCAAGGGACCATGCAAGTTGAGGGCACCAGATACATGTATGCACTTTGGGTCAGATTTCACCGAGCGCAACTGCCAACTGTATATTGAAGCTGACAACTACCACCATTCACACAGGCATCCAAGCAAACACACATTCACAATACGCCATCCTTTCACACAGCAAGCACATATTCACACTGACCCCCCTGCACACATGCACACCTGCACACTGCCACCGCTGTGACCATGGTGTTAGTTAACTAACCTTGTCAGTATGGCGCACTTCCAGTTTCTCAAGCTGGTCTTCCAAGCGAGCTAGCTTCTTCTTTGCCTTCTCCTTCTCAATATCCCTACCACACGAGAACAGCAGCAGCAGCAGCAGCATAGCCCACACGTCAATGAACGTAGGACAAATAGCCATGGATTCCACTATCGAGTTCAGCCGAGAGCAGAAGGAGGCATACACATCGCGGGTGTCCTGGGTCATCAGATGTCATTCGTGTCGTGTCGGCGATGTGACAGTGACCGTCAGCAAGTGGCGGAGTCACAGTACAACGTGCACTGCTCACACGCCATGGCTCTCTTTCGAAAGACAATCAAAAATGGCCAGTGACCAAAGCAAGAAAAAACAATCGCATAACGCGGCTCGCTCACCCCCCCCCCCCCCACCGCATGTCAGAAAGTGGAGATAACCACACGCATAGTCTGTTTTCTTCTTAAAAAGTCATATTACACCGCATATCTTTTCCACTCAAATATCGGCAGAAAGCCTTGAATTTTCCGTTTCCCCTTCACGATAGTTTGTATACGCAGGAGCTCGTGTTGTTCTGGCAGAAAATGCAACAACAAAAACGCAGAAATTATCTTGTACAGCAGAAAAACGAAAACGAGCGCTATCCCCTGGATGTACAGTTGCGCTCACTGAAATCCGACCCAAAGTGTAAAGCTGGCGCCCTGGACCTCTTCCGATTACATCATTGTATTTGTACATGTGTACATCCAGCTGCATTTGTGCCACTTCCAGGGCGTCAATGGGCGTGCAAGTTGAGGGCGCTTTTGGTGGGATTTCATCGAGCACAACTGTAGTAAGGACAAGTGTGGTCATACGGCACACAAGAGTGTGGTCATACGGCACACAAGAGTGTGGTCATACGGCACACAAGAGTGTGGTCATACGGCACACAAGAGTGTGGTCATACGGCACACAAGAGTGTGGTCATACGGCACACAAGAGTGTGGTCATACGGCACACAAGAGTGTGGTCATACGGCACACAAGAGTGTGGTCATACGGCACACAAGAGTGTGGTCATACGGCACACAAGAGTGTGGTCATACGGCACACAAGAGTGTGGTCATACGGCACACAAGAGTGTGGTCATACGGCACACAAGAGTGTGGTCATACGGCACACAAGAGTGTGGTCATACGGCACACAAGAGTGTGGTCATACGGCACACAAGAGTGTGGTCATACGGCACGCAAGAGTGTGGTCATACGGCACACAAGAGTGTGGTCACACGGCACACAAGAGTGTGGTCATACGGTACACAAGAGAAATGATGTACTTGGTGTGGTCATACGGCACACAAGAGTGTGGTCATACGGCACACAAGAGTGTGGTCATACGGCACACAAGAGTGTGGTCATACGGCACACAAGAGTGTGGTCATACGGCACACAAGAGTGTGGTCATACGGCACACAAGAGTGTGGTCATACGGCACGCAAGAGTGTGGTCATACGGCACACAAGAGTGTGGTCACACGGCACACAAGAGTGTGGTCATACGGTACACAAGAGAAATGATGTACTTGGTGTGGTCATACGGCACACAAGAGTGTGGTCATACGGCACACAAGAGTGTGGTCATACGGCACACAAGAGTGTGGTCATACGGCACACAAGAGTGTGGTCATACGGTACACAAGAGAAATGATGTACTTGGTGTGGTCATACGGCACACAAGAGTGTGGTCATACGGTACACAAGAGAAATGATGTACTTGGTGTGGTCATACGGCACACAAGAGTGTGGTCATACGGCACACAAGAGTGTGGTCATACGGCACACAAGAGTGTGGTCATACGGCACACAAGAGTGTGGTCATACGGTACACAAGAGAAATGATGTACTTGGTGTGGTCATACGGCACACAAGAAGAGAAATGATGTACTTGTGTTACATGGTATTGAGAACTCACCCCCTTTCTCTCTTGGCCGCCCGATACTCCTTCTTAGCAGCAACAATCAGTTCTTTCTTCTCATCAATCTGAGCACATAGGGTCAATAGTAGACCAAGCCACTCTTAGAGACAGCACCACTAATCAATTGCATACTACAGTGCATACATTATTAAAAGCCGACTCACACAGACAGCAGCAGCAGGATGTCCACAGAATACGATAAAATAAGAATTAATAAATACGGGTTACCGGTAATCACTGCAGCACTCACTTCAGTAACTACAATGCAGATGCCTACAGTCCATTTCAAAACTATAGACGCGTACCTAGGCAAAAACCGTTATGCCAGCATCTATACCACATAAAATCTGTGATCACTTTGTGCATAAATTTTTCCAAATTGGGCGTCTGTTATCCAATCGTTTAGAAACTATATGGGAGTAATTGTGGAGCGGTCCTGAGCAATATTCCGAAAACTATTCTCAAAAAGGTCCAGCCAAATTTGAAATATTTCAAAAACCCTACGCGTCTATAGTTTTGAAATGGACTGTACATGTACATGTGGTGTCAAGCTGGGAGTATGAACACCACCACCACCACCACCACCACCACCACCACCACCACCACCACCACCACCTGGCAACGATCACAAACAAGACAGGGCACGGGGACACACGGGGACATGCACTTAGGTGAGCTCACCTTGCCCTGAAGGTTTTCCATCTGCTGGTCATGACCTTTGGAAACGGAGCGCTGCAACATGGACAAGACAACATGCCATAACACAATGTCAGCCTTAGTCAGCCTTGCCTACACAATGTCAGCCTTGCCTACACAATGTCAGCCTTGCCTACACAATGTCAGCCTTGCCTACACAATGTCAGCCTTGCCTACACAATGTCAGCCTTGCCTACACAATGTCAGCCTTGCCTACACAATGTCAGCCTTGCCTACACAATGTCAGCCTTGCCTACACAATGTCAGCCTTGCCTTGCCCCTAATCACAACCTACACGGTATTAATCCTCTTGCCTTAGCCAAAACCATACTGAAATTTGCCCACGGCCATGATTGGACCAAGACTACCACCAGCAGCAGCAACAACAACACAGATCACACACGAGCACCCACCCACACACACACACACACACACACACACACTGTAGATCTACATAACAGAGTAACAGTTCTCAGTACATGTACAATGTCATGTGGCCAGCAGCATGGTGTGTAGTTACCTGATGGTTACAGAGAATGGCCACAGCTCTATTTGCACGATTGTAGGACAGAGTCTTGGCTGCTGTGTTGTCAGTAGCTGAAGTACACATAGCAACATACACATAAGCTGCAATATCAGCACACCGTTTGCTTGACTGGGGCAATATCAGCACACCGTTTGCTTGACTGGGGCAATATCAGCACACCGTTTGCTTGACTCGGGCAATATCAGCACACCGTTTGCTTGACTGGGGCAATATCAGCACACCGTTTGCTTGACTCGGGCAATATCAGCACACCGTTTGCTTGACTCGGGATGCCGGTATGCAAAATGCAGGTCTTTCAACGACTAATTATAACGTAATTATCAAGTGCACACAATTCAACAAAGATTCTCCTTACTCACCTTTCGTTAATTTCTTCAACTGGTCCTATTGACATAGATGAAGGACGAGACATGCACATGAACAAAAGGCACACACCGACACACACACATGAACATGCACACGCACACACATGAACATGCACACACACACACGCACACACACGCACACACACACACACACACCGACACACACACACACACGTACAAACAAACACAGTAACCACAGTGAGTATCTGGTACATGTATACGTGCAGTGGTTAGTATTTTGAACTATTTTCTATTATACCAGTAGCACAGAGTTTCCCAGCAGGTTCTGTGGCTGTAGTTTTGTACTTGGTACACTGAGTCTGTACCTTTTATCTTGGGGATCACAGACTTGCACCACAGCATGTGTGTATGTGATGTGATACGGTGTGACGTCAAACATGTATGGATATGATCCATACAGTTCTCCAATAGAACCGTGTGCTGATATCGGAGACTGCGCTTGTATCTTCGAAGCCCTCTCGGAGTGCGCTTATAATAGAGACCGGGCTTCTACAAGAGACTGCGCTTGTCATAGAGATAATACGGTATATTTATAGACTGCTTGGAGATCACTAGATTGAGCACCGGCCTGCCATAACACACATGCGCTGGCAACAATACCAACAGTGGCCATAGTGCTGCTGATTGTCTGTACACTGCATTCTGTATTTGAGCCAGCACACGCGAAAATCACCCTTAGTGACATATTTTCAGAAACTGAGATGACAGTGGATAAAGGCAGATGGATTTATGCAGAATTCAATGCAAAAAACGTTTGAAAAAATCTTGAGTAAAACTTGAGTTACGGGTCTAGATAGAGCATTTTCCCTGATATATCGCACATCACACGAAAACAGAGAATGTTTGAAGTGCGTTTTCTCAGCGTGAAGTGCGTGTCACTAAGGTCGATTTTCGCGTGCGCTGGCTCATTTGTGCTTATCAGTAGATCAGGATTACCACCAATCTCTCCCAGAATCATTTGCAGTAAAACTAGCCGAGGAAAAAAACCCTCTGCACACACAGTGTCCAATGTGCCCATCTGAACTCGCACACGCAGCCAAGCAACTCATTGCTTGAATAGAGTATGTCTCAAGCACCTACTGCCCTAGGTGCACACGGATCTCCACACTATTATACACAGTACACAGCACTATGCTGTTCACAGAGATGGACTGGTGGAAGTCGTTCAACATACCTGTAGCGTGAATGAGGCATTGTATGTACGGAACACCTGCACAAGCAACGGCATTTACAAGACAACACACACAACAGCAGGTACTCAGAGAGGAGAGTAAGCACATGACAACACATAACAACACACAACATATTACAAAACAAGCACACAGGTATTCAAAAGGGAAAGTGCACTACCATAAAGCAAACAAAGCAACAGAGAAAACTATACTAGTACTAGTAGTAGAGGTAAAAGCGTAAAACAATTACACGTCTTCACTAACCAATCACTTGCTCACTATAACCTATTGAGTACATAATATTTCCACGGGAAAAGACCCAAGCGTAGCTACATTCTTGCAATTGGTCTTCTTATGAGTTTGTCATGAACAGGAGCAACACCACACAACTTATTACTAATGGGAAGATGTGTTGTCTTTTTTGAGAAGTTTCAATATTTCCCACGGTGAGTGTGCAGCTGCCAGTGGTAAGGATTGTGCTCTGAGCTGCACACAGGTGGCACCGCAAACAGTTATACACAAAGTAAGGGAGCGTACCAGCTTGTGTGTACTAGAGTGCGGGTGCAATGAGGGCTGTGTGCGTACCACCTGCCTGATTGTAGTTGGTAGGTACTAGTTTGTGCTGGAAGTGCGTGGGCAGAGTGAGGGGTGTGTCCCAGCAGCCTGTGTAGTGTCACAGGCAGAGCGAGTTTTGAAGTCTGAAGAAAATGTTGAACGGTCTCTGCTGGGATGACAGCTACACCATAACTCAATGGTTAGAGTATCACTGACCTGAAGCGAAGGTCCCTGGTTCAAGTCCTGGTGGTGACAGCCAATTTATTTCTTCAGACTTTTTCCCCTTTTCAGTCCGTCAAACCATGAATACAATAAAATCCTGCACGGTTATATCTACCGGCAAGAGTACATAACCCCCAAGAGTGTGCAACTCCCGCATACCCTGCTGTCCCCACAGAATTTCAAGTTGACGTCATTATTTACGATACAATGCACCTTGCACCAGTGATTTACAACATGTGTACGGGTGTCAACGCATCACACATTTTTCTTTGCAATAATTTGTACAGGATCAGACGGGCTTTGGACCACCACAGGTTCCGGATTCGTCTGATAGTCCGTGTGCAATGCGCATTGCATCATAAAAATTAATGACGTCAACTAGAAATTCTGTCGGGACAGCACCCATAGTCGAGTTGCACACTCTTGGGGGAGTTATGTACTATGTACTCTTGCTACCGGTAGTAAGGTTAAGAAAAGAGAAGGAAACATACCTTGGCAGTTAGTCCAGGCATCAACTCTGATAAATGTGAGTTCAGAGAAGTAGTCTGCATGCATAGCACATAAGGAAAAAGCAACACAGAACACACACACACACACACACACACCCACACACACACACACACACACACATTAATACATATAAAATCATGTATGTGTAAGCACAGTGTATCGAGTATTGATCCATACTGTACTAAGGTACTGTAGGTGGTAATCCGATTTTCTTTTCAAAAGCACTGGGGTGCTGGGGGACTGGGGGACAGCAGCATTGGAGCATTGGGGGACTGGATCACACTGGGGCAATGAAGCATTGGTAGATGGTGCAGAAATCTTTACCCATCCTAGACAGTAGAAGAATCACATGCACATCATGCACTCACTCATCTTGTCCTTACCTGTAGTCTGTCAAAGAGTTCATGAGATTGCTCCTTGTCTTTCATGAATAGTTTCAAATTCTTGAAGACCTGAGCACAGCAAACACACACAGGCACACACACAGTATGGATACACAGGAAAATGATAACGCATCCCTGAGCTTTGCCAAAGGCGTATGTCATTATCGTGTAGTGGCGCATGTCCAAACTAACCAGGGTCCAGCAACCTACATTGTGTATGAAAGCCCCTAATGGCCTGGTCCCGTTGCCTCTCTGGCATGCATTGATATCTTGCCGTTCATCTTCAGTTTCATGGTTCTTTGTCTAAACGGGACATCCTAGTGGTAATGGACTGAGTGTGCTGGTGACTGTGTAGTCACTACATGGTCTCAGAAGTGGGATTCAAACCCACGCCTACTTAATGCCCTTTACTTTTTTTACTTAATTTAACTTTTAAAATTTAACTGTTTCGTATATTGGCTGTGGTGGCTATCACCCTTCTTTCACATTCATTTGTCATTGGCAGTCGTTTGACGAGCCAGGAAATGTTGAATAAACACAAATACAAATACAAAAGCAAGTTTGTTGGTTCCGCATTTACCACGTGACCAAGTGATCATGTGTACGCGGTGTGTGTGTGTGTGTGTGTGTGGGGGGGGGGGGGGGGGGGGCTGTGGCCGATGGCAAAGCCAGGCATTGACCGTACATACCCCTTTCAACAGAACAAACTAGGATCCAGCAAAACGAGGGACCATGGGCGCATGCATGCCGCCTTGTTGTTCCTGACTACCTCCACGAACGCTTGCCCTACAACATGAAAGAGAAACGTATAAGCCCCAAACGACCCACAGGTCTATTGCACACCGAGTCTGTCATTCAGCACTAACCTGTTTCTCAACGGGGACATGGTTCTGATACCGGATAGAATCCTTTCCCAGAAAGTCAAACTCAACAACATAGTCTTTGCCTTCATGTTGCTCATGGAGCTCTGGAAAAGAAACATGCACACAGTCACACACGCACGCCCATGGAAGAACAATCACACAGCTCGTGATGTAGACGAAAGTATAACAAGCATCGGATCTGAAAAGAAGAATTACAGCCCCCCCCCCCCCCCACACGAAAAGTGCAATCACGTATACCCTAGCAAAGACACCCAGTCCACCTGCCAAGCATTACTTACTGATGTGTTCCACTCTCAATGAACAACAGCCAACAGTGTCTGCACTCTCATCAGGATCTTTCTCATGACCCGCTCTCAATGCAAGCTTCAACACACAAACACAAAACAACACCATACAAATACGACACACCAATGAGTAGAAGACACTACATGTAAATCCAATCATATTGAATCATGCACAACGACAGCAGCCTTGGCGTTTCCCATACACCAACAGTGCCCGTAGTACCTAGTTTCACAAGCCGGTGTTGCCTTCCTAGATGATAGAACACGCTGCTACACACCATACATCCACCAATATCCAATACCCTATCTCAACAGTACACAGAGTTGGAAAATAAGTGAGCGCAAGGAGATTGTCGAATGGATAGATAACAGTGCAGCAGCTGACACATGACTATACTACTATTACTAGCACAGCTTTAGTGCACATGCAGATTGTACACTGCTCACCTTGTCAATGAAGTACACAGCAACGGCACTGTAGGAAGCACCAATCACAACACAGAAACACACACGCACACACACACACACACACACACACACACAAACACCCATGCGTGGACACAAACACACACATGCGTGGACACACACACACGCACACACACACACACACACACACACACACACATGAATGTACATAACTAGGAGATGTGGACGCAATGTCATTTTCATTCCATTCCACCCCCTTCACCCAGCTCTATATCAGGCATGGTGGTGGCCTGCCACGTGCACAAAGTCCTCAGCTGGTTGTGTTTCAAAACAGCAAAGCCAGTGGCAACGCGGCGGATGTACCAACATTACTTTTACATTTCACCCAACGCCATTCAGACCTCACTCAATAGCTATTTCAGAGAAACTGTTGATTACGTTGTGAGTCATGTTCACGCACTATATAACTACAGAAGTGCAACAGCTGTGAAAACACTTGACATGCCACAGATTTACAAGCATGCTCTGCTGTATAGGGTCTTCGAGTAAAACAGAGAAGAAATGCATCATGCGCAAACACCGTCTACACACACATGCGCACACGCGCGCGCGCGCGCACACACACACACACACACACCTCAGACCTCAGACATGCCCATCGCGGGAGCGATGATAGCGAACAGCTATGTTTTAGACATAGCAACTTGACACACACACACACACACACACACACACACACACACACACACACACACACACACACACACACACACAGCCTACCGTTGTCGAATGCTCATCATCTTTGACTTCCAATCGTCAATATACTTAGAACGGATTTTGCTCACTTCATTCTACACGAGCACAACCAACACACAACATACCCAGAAAGAATCAATTGTAATGAATGCACCGATCACCAGAAGCAAGTGCAGCAGCAGCAATGTGTCAACATGTGTGTGTGTGTGGGGGGGGGGGGGCATGCAAGCGTGCGCGTGAGAAAGAGAGAGAGAGTGAGAGTGTGTGTGTGTGCGCGCGTGCGTGTGCAAGAGAGGGAGAGAATCGTACCTTGAGACGCCGTGCAGTTTCATACTTTTGCCAATCCTTCTCACCCTACATGTATACACATGCAAACAGACAAGAAAAACAGTCCAGAAAAAAAACATTCTAATCAGATTGATACATGTAACAGTGAAAAGAATACATCAGGAATGGCAACTGGTTTGAGTACCTGGGGTACTACAGCCCATTGCACCCATATACCCATATACTTCAAGTACACAAGTGAAGAGGCGGCGACACACAATGTGCCTATATTATTTTTGTAGTTTCCTACGGTTGCAAGACGGGTTATGTGGACCTAATCTGCTCCCGAAAGCAGCGGGCTGAGTGGAGAGACCTTTCACCTGGCATGACTGGACGATATTCACAAGCAGCTATGCGTATACAATACACATCTCAGCTCAACAACGTCACACAGTTGAAGTGTCCTCAGCTCTCAAACACACAGAGAATATCAAAGAAAAACGGGCATGCATCCAGAGCTAGAGCTCAGCGAAACAAGATCTTCTTGGCCAGCCATACCTTGAGTTTGGAGGTGGCATTCAGCATGATGTACTTGATACCACCATTAATATTCTCCGACCAGCTGACAAGCCACGTTACCTAGGCACATCAACAACAAGAAAGATAATAACAATGAGATATGGGCAAGGTTAAACAAATCATCATCACCACTACTAAACGCAACCTAGCCATCTAGAGTAACAACTGGTGCTGTCCCAGTGCGTCAGTGGAGAGCAAAGAGAAGCAGTGGGCTAGGAGGAGTGGAGAGCAAAGAGAAGCAGTGGGCTAGGAGGAGTGGAGAGCAAAGAGAAGCAGTGGGCTATTAACAGCCTACCTCGTTATTGTGTTGTACTGCCTTCCACTTGTGTCCTGCTGGAGGCTCGGGAGCAGTAGCATCCCTAGAAGCAACGCCACAAGGTACATTACACAGAGAACACGCACACACATGCAGATACCCGGTCATAGAAAGAAACGATTACGCAAAAAATGGGTCCTGTTTGCTTTCCTTTATGTGGGCAGCGGAGAAAATGCAGTACGGCTACAATGTACTTGACTCTTCAGTGGCAGCACATACATGTACAAGTTCAGTCACACCAGTTAGTGAGAATGGTTGCATTAGACAATGACTCAATGAGTGATGTGACTTTGCTCTGTCATCGTGTCACTCACAATTACAAAAACACCATCCATCACATACAATACTGCATTGCATTGACATTGGTCGTTCCACCCTCCCTTTCTTACATGTACCGTAGAGTACCGTTGATCCCTCCCTCCCCCCCCCCAAAGCCATGTCGCTTCCCAGCTGGGTTATCGGCAGGGGGCGGGAATTAGATCGAGGCTGTCAAGTACAGTACGATGTACAACAACGTGGAAGTTCAGACTCGATGAGCTGGATTGTGCACATTTTCATCCTGCACTGGCACGTATTGTGTACAGCAGTGGATGCGTCAGTTCAACATCGTATTTCGTTGTATACGCCGAAGTCGCTTCACAGGCAGAAATTCGACAGGGGCGGCAATTAGAGAGAAGGCGGATCAACGGTACTTTACGGTATGTTCTAGCATAGGCAGAGCTGTGGACTCAGCATCATGCTCATGCACTTCAACACACACAGCTGCCAACAATAATACAGCACACGCATAGCAGCATACGCACAGCAGCATACGCACAGCAGCATACGCACAGCAGAACGCAACTGTAGACCACACACATGTACAATCGGGGGGACGGGGAGGGAGCTGTGACATACTTGCCAATGTTGATCGTGATGTCCTCAGCCTGGATCCGACGCTGGAAAGACAACACAGACACAACACACAGCACACTGGTTAGAACATCATCATCATCATCATAAGCAGCAGCGACAGCAAAAAGAAGAAGGGTTGCAAAGTAAATACACGACCTTAGTTGCAAGTGCAAAGAGAATAATATCAGAAAGAAGAACTCTGGATTATTTGAGTGATAGAAAACACCGTTTCTATTTTGATGACCTTGCGTGGCCAAGATGTGTTCACTAATACTCTTAGACAGTCTTTGCACTGACACATCTAGTCGACAGAACATTCTAGATGTCACATGACACGCAACGCCACCTCAATGGCAGCAGCACGGGTTTTCTATGATTCATGATGACCTAAACCAAAAAACTTCGCCACAGGATAGGTTTTGTGCAGCATAGATGCGGAGCAGCACACTCTGGTGTATGTACTCTTGGTAACATGAACTGTGAAAACCTCAATAGTACCTTGAGTTTGCCCTGCTTAGGGTGATCACCACGACCCCGAAACAATCCTGGCGGTTCAAGACGAAAGTTTCCTATCTTCTCCCTGAAAAGGCAAAACAACACATGTACACGCACACACACGTACACATACACACACACGCACACACACACACACACACACACACACAACCACATAGAGTTCAGAGCAGGCTGCATAGTGAGTAACTCTTGTGGTACTGGAAGTATGCCTGTATGGGGACTGTATGGCTAACAGTGACATCACAGTACACAATCAGCAATGGGCTCATTGATCAGCAGTGGCACATGATCACATGATCCACAGGTACAGATATGTTCATAACTCTCCCTGTACAGATCTAATTCAATGGGATATCCCGAGGCATGAAGCTGCTCTGACCTCGCTAGATCTAGCCAAGAACACAACCACAACAAACAGAGCCAAAAGAAAAAAGTTAGTCAACGTACTTGTGCCCGTCGATCAGACAGAAGCCATACTCCTTGATAAGGGCTTCATTCTTCTCTTTCAGTTTCTGTGTGCAGATAAAAGTGAACAGACCACAATTATGGGTGTCCATTAGTCGCATCGAAACCAGCAGGGAGACTCAGCACCACCTGATCAGCAGTGGTGAGATTTCGCTCATGGGAGAAACGTACCAAAATTCGCTTGAAACTTTCATACATAACTCCCTAAAAGGATTCACCGACCGGGCTCTTTCATTGTTTCATACATGCACATGTCGTACATATGTACGTGGAGCGTAGCCTGCCCAGTGGATTCCAGGCGACACCCATTCCCGTACGATTTGATACAATACCACACACTGGCTTGTACAGCAACGGGGTCCAAACGATGTTAAAACTGGCACATACTGTAGTGTGTAGTGTGTATAGTGAGAGTGAGAGTGAGAGTGAGAGTGAGAGAGAGAGAGAGAGAGAGAGAGAGAGAGCAGGTGACCCAGAATGAGCTGACACTCGGCGTGCATCATGATAACGACTAGTAAAAGACACAAGTGCATGGTCAAGATGGTGAGAAAGCAATACAACAAAAGGCAGTTGAGTACAGTGGGCACAGGACCATGTCGGGTACAAAATGAATGGTGAGAAAAGGGCGTTGATTGCTGTGTACGTGCTAAATTCAAATCTGTGCGCCAATGGGCAGCCATGAATATGCTCTTATTTGCTTGGTAGAAGCAGGAGTTAAGTCAGAAAAGAATACTACTCCCATTTAACCAACCTGCTTCTCCTCTTTGCTCATAGCCTTGCGCTCCTCGGTTTTCATCTTGAAGTATTCAAACATATGCTTGAAATCACATTTCTTGAAAGACGTGATGTCTCTACGTTCCTTGTCTGTCATTTCCTGGGCAAACATGATAGATAAGGAATACAAGAGAATACAAGATCAGCAGTGGCCAACAATGGCAATCTACACAGCGAGGCAGAGTACAGCAGGAGCTTGCTGCTGCTGCTGCTGCTGCCAGCATACTCCTACCGTTAAGCAGCGCAAGACCGCCCCATCTTGACTTTACAGGCAGGTAAAGGGAAATCGCAAGGTAGAGTGCAACTAAGCTTGTACGGTGTGAGAACCTTAGTGCACTAAGGTCACACTTAGCATGTTCTTGTGTGGAGCTCCAAGGTAAACTGAGTACGGGTTACCTGCCCAATGTGCAATGTATAAAGAACAGAAGTCAGCAAACGGCAGCAGCTTGAAGAATCCTTACCTTTCTGAAGTCTTCCCAGAAGTTATTGATGAAGATTTCTTTGCTGGTGTAATCATGTTCTAACATCCTGCCAAAGAAGCCAGCCACTTCTTCTGCCGCAGCACTCAGCTTGTACGCTTTGCCTGATCATACCATAAAGACACAAACACCAAAGCAGCACTGCTATTCGGACTGTGCATATTCATGTGTCTACGGAAACGCACGCCACGCCACTAGATAGCTGATGTGTCATTGGTATGCAATGCAGCAAAGAATACTAGCTCCATGTAAAACTGGCTTTACAATTTACACTCATTACGCAAGGTAAGTGCATCGGTCTGTATGTGAGATCATGTGTCAGGTATGTAAACACAAAAAAGACATCCACATGCACATGAGGAGAGAGAGAGACACACACACAGACATGGAGAGAAAGACAGAGAAAGACAGAGAAAGACAGAGAGAGAGAGAGAGAGAGAGAGAGAGACAAAGATAGAGAGAGAGAGAGACAAAGATAGAGAGAGAGAGAGAGACAAAGATAGAGATATACTTCCTCCGGAAACAAAAACTTCGTGACTTTTTTCCACTACTTTTCGCTGCTGTTATTTTGCTCTTTCTCTCTGGTTCTGTCAGCCTGAAACATCTGACATGACATTTCGGAATCGTAGGAAAGCAGGATTCATATTCTGAAGAGCCGACAGTCGTCGCAGAGCAAGGGTGTAGACGCTGTAAGGGCCTGGTCAGACTGCGGCAAATCTTGGTTGCCTGACGAAAACAGAACAGCGTCCAGAATTTGAATCGCGATCACACTACACATGTGGGGAGAGTGAAAATTCAAACTTCATTTCGAGCGTCAAGTGGTAATCTCCAAGAACGACGTCAAATTCCTTCACCTTGGGGATCGCCAACACCTTCAGTGCAATCCTTGCAACCATCCTTATGAGTTTTGTTGTTGTCCGTGGCCAATTAGCTCCTCGATATCGAGATGAAAAAATCAGTGATTATCAGCGTCAATGGCGTATCAGCGTCAAATCCTGTTTGGAGCGGAAAAGCGTGGTCCGTTCTTGCTTTTTTTTTGGAGCGTCAACTCTCGCTTTTGCCGCTCTAGCGGCAAGTTACTATGGAGATTCGGATTATAATCCTAGGATTATTTCGATTTTGCCGCAGTCTGACCAGGCCCTAAACAAAGCAAAGCGAGCATGTTTTCATTTTTGTCCACCAGACGCAATGCGAAGAAAAGCACTGCGCTCACTGCTCGTCGCTGCTATTTTTTAGTTCAGAACTTGACAGAGCAGGACAATGGCACCCAGGAGCAAGAAGAGTGGAAAATGAATAGCAATAGCAGCTAGCGTTTTGAAATCTTCGCCATCCCCGAAACGCCTGTCGGCATGCGAACAGGTCGGCAAGATGTCAAAACTCCAAAACGCAGAGATGTGACAATCGCCACTTCGCGCAGCAGATCAAGATGAACAAGTTTTTAAAAAAAGTCGTTCAGCCACTGCAGAGCCCAGACCTCAACGTGGATGATCTCGCCTTTTCCCGCAGCCTCGACGATGTGTCCTTGGTCGCAAAGGAGAACATGCGAGATCTGATCGGGGCAGTCGGGAAGTGCTGGTACGACTATGATATCCCTTGGAGGAAACTTGAAATGTTTGGCTTTGCCTATGTTTGTTGTTCCAGGGCATCCTCAAGCTAGAGCGGAGGCGGTAATGAGTACCAGCGCTGCAGCGCTAACGTGGTCTCCGCCAATATGTTGGAGAAGGCATTCAAGTAACAGGTCAGCGAAGACGATCAGGGACGCAGAGAAGCTTCTGGCCACATACGATATCGCGTCGATCGACCTGCCACTTGGAACGGTTTCAGCGGTGATGAGTCGAGCGATGGCGACCCAGACTGAGACTCTACTCCCACTAATAGATCCTGTAGATATTGTAGATATGTCAATTGAATGCGTTGAAGTGTTTCTCTTCCAAAAGAACACTTCCGTTGAGCGCAGTAACTCCTTGAAAAGTCATGTGAAAAAGTCACGAAGTTGTTTCCGGAGGAAGTAGATAGATAGAGAGCGAGATAGATAGAGAGTGAGAGAGAGAGAGAGAGGGAGAGAGAAGGAGAGAGAGAGAGAGAATGCACTTACCATCATACATAAACTTGACGCTGTCGGGAAGTGGCTCATACGCTGGAGCAAAAACTGGCCCCTACAGAAGCAGCAAGAGCAACACCAACAGCAGCACCAGCACAAACAGGAGTATGGCAGACAGTCATGATTAGGTAATCGTAAGGTTGGTAGACCAGTCAATTCTTACTTCCTCCGCCCAAGCAACATTTTCGCTTATCTTTACACTTTTTGCTGAAACATTCCAGGTTCTCAGAACGGCTTATAACGCCTCAGAATGAGTTGAGGAGCCGTTGGACATCAAGAGAAACTGTCCAAGTCGAAACATGTTAAAGTCATCCTTTTTCATCAGCCGACGCAGCACTTGTAATGTCGGGTAGTACTTCGCACTTTCCAGAAGCGCAAATATTTCGCATCGACACTTTTCCAAGCGCTTCACCTCCTTCATGAGTACGATCGGTCGTGTTTCTTACCAGCTGAAGCTGACGAGCTCAGTGTCGCTTTGCAGGATTATTTACGTTGACATCAGGCGAATGAGCTGGGTGAGTGACAACCCTGTCATCGAAGCCTTTCTTTTCCCCCTGTTTTGCCCGGCGCCGATTCTGGTTCATTTTCCAGTATGTGGGCGAGCATCGCTGAGTACGAGTGGCTTTCTCAGCTTCAACTACTTCAAGCTCACGTGCATTTTACCGTACACACATCTTGTGCCGGATGCAAACAAACACGCTGGCTTTTCGCAACATGACACCTCTGCTCTGTACTCCAGTGGTGCTCTAGCAGCACCCACCTTGACCAGTCATACTTCGTGTCTTTTTTACCAGTTCACTCGCGTTCAACGCGCTCTACTCTAGGTGTTTCTTTACTCTTTGCCGACTTCGCCGACTTGTTTGGAACTGGTGTGCCTGAACCAGCAGATTTGTGTGATGGTGAATTGCACAAGATGCAAAAATTGCTGTCAGACACCTGTCATTGGGCTGAAGGAGATAAGCGAAAATTTTGCCTGGGCGAAGGAAGTAGAAATTTAAGCCTGGTCTTATTAGTCCCTGGACTTGGGGTAAACACCCCTAGATCTATCATCCAGTCATTTCAGAGAGTGGGTTTACATGATGAAGTGGGCTTAAAAAAACTTGCCCCAGGCTAAACTAGCCCAACCCCAGACCCTGAGCTTAGAGTACTCCCAGGGCTTAATTTCTCAGGTAAACGATCGAGAAAATATTAAAGTCCTGCGCCTATAATTTAGTTTTCCTTGCTTTTCGACTTTGCTATTTTCAGTTCTTGGCTTCTGTTGTTCAAATTTTCCTTCACCTTTTTTTGGAAAAGAAGTGACAACTAGAAAGGCAGCAGGAACGTGAACAGACACTTCTCGATGCAAATGTTATTGGTCATGAATATTTACCACTGTGTTCATGACCAATTCGAAAAGCTCAACACACACACACACACACACACACATACACACACACACACATACACACACACACTTCAGACCTGCCCATCGCGGAAGCGATGATAGCGAACAGCTATGTTAGACATAGCAACTTGTGCTGGGATTACACCGTTCAACAGCTTACAAGGCTGATGAATTGACCGCCACTAATTTTAGCCTGGTATCCACCATACAGCTGCCACACATACACACACACACACACACACGCATGCACACACACGCATGCACACACATATCTCACAGTCACACACCTGACTGCTCCGTACACGTCCAATAGGCTTGGGGCAAGCCTGGGCTTACTTCTCTGATGAAAACTGGCCCTCGCAAAAAATTGGTAAAAAATGAGAATTGAACTCATAAACTCATGTTTCAAAAGCCAATGCGCTGAGTATTTTGTCAACAAAGGGATCAACCTCTCAGTCGTTCACCTCAAATAAAGAACAGTTGCTGTTACAGACTTACTAGTGGGAATTGCATTATCTACAGTACAACTCTTGATCTGGGTGAGCAATTGCATGAGCATGATTTCAAGCGTAACTGTGCCCACTTGAACAAATCCAGTTTAGGATTTAGGAAACCTGTAACACATTATGAAAAGTGTGACATCTCTGGCAATGGACCGAGCGGAACCAACCTTGTGCGCCAGGGTCTTCCACTTCACGCCATCTTCAAGCGGCTCTTCCTCCCACCTAACACACACACACACACACGCACACACACACACACAGAGTAAGAGCTACATCATTGGTATTAAGCAGAAACGATGCTAAAAACCAGACCATCATCAAAACGGGATAAGGAGGTAACGCTAAGCAAGGAGAAACTGATTCTAATGACAGGTGTGAGGTTGCAAATGGCCTGACCGAGGTCGTAAGAACGGTAGAGCAGAAATCTAGTCGGTTAGAGGAACAGCGGAATTGTGCTGATTTGCACCAGTCACAGGAGATGGAAGAACTGACATCTAGGGTAGCTTGAACCACTTTGGCCATGAAAAACCATTTACAGAAGAAGAACTGTTCTCTGTATTCTAAGTTGTTCTCTAGCATACATACATGTAGACCCCAGATCACATGATATTCAAATTGGGGGGGGGGGGGGGGGGTACTGATGCATTCGGTCGTACTTTTGGTCGCTTGAAAGTACAAAAAGACAATTTTCCGAACTTCAAGGCCCCATGACAGATCACCAAACTACGGAAAGTGACAGTAAAAGAACGTCCAATACTAACCATTTCCAAACTTCACGCTCCTCTTCTTCCTTCTTTTTTCTCGGAACCTTTGGCTTTTTCTCAGCCTCTTCCTGTAGAAACAGTACCAGAGGGAACACACACGCGGGCACAAGTAAGTATGGCTAAGTAAGTGATCAACAAAGAGGGAGATACCCAGCCATGGATAAAAGCAGGAAACTATAACACTTGCTGGTTGACAGTTTAGCTACAGACCATGTCCATCGGCGACAGTGTACCAGTACTGGAGCATGCGCAGTCTCATGACATGTGGCCATCAGGCGCACATGAACCAGTTACTAAAAATGTCACGGTTCACGTGGGACTCAGGTAGGCTGAGTGTTCCGCATACTGAGGAACGCCACCACCATCAAGGAGCGGTTACTAACACACTAGAAGGAAAAACAAGGCCAAGACAATCGGAAGACAATCTCTCACCTTTACAGATTTGCGGCTGCCAGGCTTTGGCTTCACATCAGCCTTTTCTGTCTTTACTTTACTAGCCGTTGCCTTCTTCGCCGCTGGGGACAAACGGGAAAAAAAACAGGAAAAGGAATTGTCATTGGTTAGAGGGAAAGATGCAAACGGGAAAAGTCTGAAGAAAAAAAATAGACTGCCATCACCAGGACTCGAACCAGGAAAAGGAATTTACGAACATGACTATAAGACAAAAGGATAGAAAACTGCCATAGGAGAATCAAAACAAAGCATAGGTACATGGACATGTACGGTAGGTCACAAATACAACAATACTCACGGGTTGCAGAGCGAGATGACGCTGAGGATGGCCTCCGCTTTGCTTTGGCCTGTATATATAGGCGCGCGCGCGCGCACACACACACACACACACACACACACACACACACACACACACACACACACACACACACACACACACACACACACACACACACACACACACACACACACACACACACACACACACACACACACACACACACACACACACACACACACACACACACACACACACACACACACACACACACACACACACACACACACACACACACACACACACACACACACACACACACACACACACACACACACACACACACACACACACACACACACACACACACACACACACACACACACACACACACACACACACACACACACACACACACACACACACACACACACACACACACACACACACACACACACACACACACACACACACACACACACACACACACACACACACACACACACACACACACACACACACACACACACACACACACACACACACACACACACACACACACACACACACACACACACACACACACACACACACACACACACACACACACACACACACACACACACACACACACACACACACACACACACACACACACACACACACACACACACACACACACACACACACACACACACACACAAGAAAAGCAGAAGAAGAAAAAAGCGAAAAGCAGAAAAAAGAAAAATATTGTGTCAGAAGGGGAATCCGAAAGACCGGTGCATCTCATCTACGTGAATGCCACTCAGATACATATCCGGATGCTTCATCCTCCACAGAAAATTTGGTGCACCACACAGAGTGGGAATCGATACCGGGACCTGTCGTACCGAAATCAAGATCATTCCCACTCAGCAAGTCTGCACATATGCCGTCCACCGGCAGCTTATCTTGAATAAAAACAGCTAGCAGTGGAACTCAACCATAAAGAAAACCGTGTTTATGGACCATATCCTTCAACAATTTTTCTTTGCACTTTTCAATATGCTAGTAGCAGGCCCTACCACTGTAGCCATCAAATGGGTCATCGGTCTTTCTCAACGCATTGATCAGATTATTCGCACAGTACAACTTCATACAAGGAACAATTAGCCAGTGCATGTAACAGAAAATGAAACAGCAAAGAGGAATACTGCATTTAGTTTTTTACCAGTGGGAGGTCATCATCGCTGTCACTGTCAGCGGCCGCAGACTTGCGACGTTTCACCTACAATAACAAAACATACACACACGCACACACGCACGAAGAGTGTGGAAGAACAACGTTGGCGAGGCCCTCACACAACTGATAACAGCACACTACATTGTGCTGATGTACCGTAAGTGGAGCGCAAGCTCGTCGCCCACTTCCAATGCACGGAATGGAGCCCTACAGTCCATTTCAAAACTATAGACGCGTAGGGTTTTTGAAATATTTCAAATTTGGCTGGAACTTTTTGAGAATAGTTTTCGGAATATTGTTCAGGATCGCTCCACAATTACTCTCATATAGTTTCTAAACGATTGGATAACAGACGCCCGATTTGGAAAAAATTATGCACAAAGTGATCACAGATTTTATGTGGTATAGATGCTGGCATAACGGTTTTTGCCTAGGTACGCGTCTATAGTTTTGAAATGGACTGTAGGTACGTACTCTCCATGGACAACTTCCCGTAAGTGGAGTGCAAACTTGCAGATTCACAGTTTTTTCCCGCCCACTTATGTAAAGTTGCTCAAGTCTACGTAACGCGGAACCTCCCTAGTGAGTGAATGAAGGAGGGAGGGAGGGAGAGGCATGCACTGGGTGGGGGTCTTACCGGCTTCTGAGCTGGAGTGGACGGTTTCTTGGCCACTTTAGTCCTGAGAAAAGACAGTAAAATGAACACCAAACCAACATGTCCATTGAAATAACACATACACAAATGCAGCAATACAAGCATTGATTGATGGATGTCATTGTCAGACATTTCCACTTGCAAATAAATCACGAGGCAGTGCAGAGGCTATGGTGAAATGAGGCAGTGCAGAAGCTATGGTGAAATCCACTGTTCTAGTACAAGTACATGCATTCCTAACATGACACATATGGCAAGTAAGAAACTGAAACTGAGTATGAAGTATGGGAGAACTGCACGGCACCCGCGCTGCTTCAACACAGCACTCAGCAGTGGAAGTTTGTAGCTGACATCACAACTGACAGAGTTGCCCAGCAACAGTATATCAGAGGGGTGATAGTACAGAGGATAAAAGACCATTCACAGTTTGAAGACTGCACACAGTAAGCAGCACACTTACCGCTGAACCTGGCCCTGGAGAAACACGATGCATGCAGAGCAAAACCAGAAGGAAAGAGAGAGAGAGAGAGAGAGAGAGAGAGAGAGAGAGAGAGAGAGAGAGAGAGAGAGAGAGAGTGGAGAGAGAGAGAGAGAGAGTGGAGAGGAGAGAGAGAGAAAGAGAGGAAGTTACCAGCAAAGGCATATACCTACAATCACAAAACCAGTGCACAACAGCACTACAGAGATGACTGGTGGTGGTGTTCACCAAAACGGACGTATCAATTCGGCCATTTCTGGATTAGTATATTGTTCTGATGTAGCAGCAGTGATGTTCCATTGTACAAAATCAGCAAGAAAGTGTCATACAACACCACAATAAACAGTAACAGCCAACAATACACAATAGTGTTACACCGTGCACAGAGCTGCAGTAACTGTAAGGTGTGTGTGTGTGTGTGTGTGTGTGTGTGTGTGTGTGTGTGTGTGTGTGTGTGTGTGTGTGTGTGTGTGTGTTCACGTGATGTGACGTACCAGTGGGCGATCATCCTCAGAGTCAGACTCCAGAAAGGATTTCTGCATGGCAAAGAAAAGAATAGATGACACCAAAAATTAAAACCCAAGAGCACAGCTACACCACACCCACACACCCATACCCACACACTGTAGGTGCATGCACAACAGTGCAAGCGTGTAACAAAGCAAATAGGTGTGTAGTCGGGACACAGAAACACAACCACACACAGGTTTCCACTGCACTACTTCACCGCCTCACAGCTTAGGTTTGAGACCAGCATCAGGTGTCAAACCTAGCCAAGCAACCAAAATTAGAACACAAATTCAAGCAACTACAAGAACGAAAACAAAAGACATGACACTCACCTGTGGCTTGGCAGCTCTGGGTGCTACAGGCTCGGCCTGCAACGAGAACAAAACAGAACATGAAAGAAATCATCTGTGAGTTGATTGAGAAGGAGAAGGCAGCGAGAGAGGGAGAGGGAGAGGGAGAGAGAGAGAGAGAGAGAGAGAGATAAAAAGGCAGCCCAGAGAGCAATGGAGTACTCGCAAAACTCACCTTTATCGGTTTGGTGGGACTTGGCGACCGTTCAGTCTGTGTACAAGACAAGAATACAAAGCAACACACACACAAAGATACAGACACAGACGATATGGTCATGATCAAAAACAAGTTTTAAAGAGCATAAACTGCATGCTGCACAATCCAAAAACAGGTACGCAAATAATTTTGCATAGCAGAGGATGGGTAGTTGCTTTCACAACTCCGAGTTTCAGAACAAAGAGATCATCAATAAAAATTAATAACACACACACACACATGTGGTCTAATACTATATACCAGCAAACGGTGGCAAATCGATAGTCCAGAAAGTGTGAAGCATGCTGACGCATGCTAGTGCAGGTGTTAGTTGCTGTGGCTGTGAATTGTCACAGTAGTGTCACAGCCAAAGATGGTTTAATACAAGAGCAGCAGGAGAGCAGCAGGATCAGGATCACGTGCTAGATTATCAACAAGTAGATCACAGGATGATGCGGAGCACAGCTATCCCCAGCTCCCGCATAGGTATTAGGTTTTGTAGCCAGCATGAAGAGTTAGTGCAGCAGGTGCCACAGATACCGTGGCGGCCGCAACCGCCGTGACACGAGCGCAAAAGGCCATACAAGCTTAACACCAGCAACACATGCTTGATTACTTGTACTACGTACGAAGCAAAGGCACTTGGCCAGCACAACATGGGCCAAGATAAGGCTACATATCAACAACGAGGTGCAACAAGACCGCACGCGGACCACAATCCTGAAACACCCCACCACCAAACGGCCAAGTACGTCGCAGCTTCTACATTATGCATCATAATCATTGGTCTAATGAGGGCTCTATAATTCCTTACTTATCCCGTACTCCATGCCCAGCGTACTATCTGGTCTACACAATAGGTATCACCAAGAGTACATCCTCCCGCAGAGTGTGCAGCGCCTGATCCAGCTCTGCATAGGGGCTTGGTAAAGCGTAATCGAATCGTTGCGTCAAAAACAACGATGCCCTGCCTCCAGACCGGCCTTGCGCTGGTGTGGAGTGTACGCATGACATCAGAAGATCCGATTACGCTCGACCAAGACCCTATGCAGAGCTGGATCAGGCGTTGCACACTCTGGGGGGTTACGTACTCTTGGTATCACATGTCGCATGCTCACTAAACGCAATTATAGTCCGTACGTCTATCCTGATCTACAACACTATTTTCGTGAAGATCACTCACTGCACAATACCCGTACGTACCTTCACTGGTTTTGCTAGCTTTATCGGGCTTGAGAGACGCTCTGTCTGCAAGCAAACAATAACAATGATGGAAGAGTGAGCCTACATGTGCAGGAACAACTAGAGTAGCTCCTCATCAGCATGCTATAGCACCAACTGGACAAGTAACAGCAATCAGATTTAATGACATAAACACACCTTCACTTTGGGCTTTGTTGCAGACGGAGTGGATGGCTTAGGCTTCTTTGAACCTACACACACATACACACACACAGCCCAAGCAAAACAACATGAATGCGGAGGAGTGAAATCCAAAAGCACATACATGTACTGTAAAAGCAGAAATTTTTGGTGTTTTACTTTCGGTAACTTTGGTGGCCGACAATTTTACCGAAAATAAAACACAACGAAAACGTCGGTACTAGTACTAGTACACTTACATGGAAAACGGAATTACGGAAAATTTCCCTCCACCGAAACGCCGATTTTGGAGAATACCGAAAATATTACACCTCGGAAAATTTCCGCGTTCACAGTACAAGTAGATGACATGCTATACGGGGCACAACATACTAGTAACAGAAGTTACCTAACGTACAGTACAACACACTGACCCTAGTTCTTTACCAACATCCAACATCTCTTCCCCAGTGCTGTCTACAGACATGCATGATCCGGCAGTTTTGGTCTGACGCGACGGCATGACGTGCTGCTGCAGCAGTACAATGGGTTGTAACTAGTGCTGAAGCGGGTAGCATTTTCTTCGGGTATCGGGTAGTTTTTCACGGGTAGCACGGGTACCCGATCGGGTAATATTTCCATGGTAACACCACAATGCACCCCTTCCCCTACACACTGGGTAGACATGAGGAGCATTATTACATGAATTTTACAGGTGCACTGTACATGATGTCATTTGCGACTTCGGATTTTCGGGTAATATTGTACCCGACTACCCGAGGTCCTCACGGGTAGCACGGGTACGCGACTAGCCGTGCGCACCCCTAGTTGTAACGTACACTACGATACACATGGTAAGTGTACTGCACAGTACAGTACTACATGCAAATACACAGGGGAAATGTGCACATACACACCACTCACCTGAAGGCACATCCTTGCGCTTGGCCTGCACAATGACCACAGGCAAGCACCACACATGAACACCAGAAAGCAATAGGCAAATCAAACAGGGAATTTTCTGCAGAGCAACTGCCTGGACACAAAATAAACCTCTATCACTCACTCCATGCTCGACCTATAGTTATTACTGTATGTCAGCGCCTTTAAAGCCATGGCCTTATATTTGAAACACCACTGCTTTCCTAGCTATTTTAGATGCAAAATGACTCACCCACTACGCCATGCTGTAGAAGTCAAAGTACACACTGAAATGTCAATCTACATTCACTTGTCCACCCTTTCTGCTGGGCTGGAAGTTTGAAGCCATGGTTTTATAACTGAGACTGGCTTTATAATCGAATATACCACCATGGCTTTAAAGGGGCGGACATACGGGGGTATGTATAAATCCTCAATCTCGGATTCTCCTGTAAAAAAAGTTACATCAACAGAGAGGAATTACACTTTCCAACAGAGCATTGAGCCAACACCAGTGTCCACTAACAATCACACACGCACACACATGCACCCACCACACATATGCACACACACATACATACACACACACACGTGCACACACACACACACGTGCACACACACACACACACACACACACACACACACACACACACACACATGTGCACACACACACACACATGTGCACGCAATGACACACGTGCACACAATGACACACACACAGGACTTTGAAAACTCAGCAACGCTACTCACCAATGGCACATCATCGTCGTCAGACGAATCTGGAAACTGACCGGGCTACAAGAAACAACACAAAACAACAATCTGGAAAATGACCGGGCTACAAGAAACAACACAAAACAACAATCTGGAAAATGACCGGGCTACAAGAAACAACACAAAACAACAATCTGGAAACTGACCGGGCTACAAGAAACAACACAAAACAACAATCTGGAAACTGACCGGGCTACAAGTAACAACACAAAACAACAATCTGGAAACTGACCGGGCTACAAGAAACAACACAAAACAACAATCTGGAAAATGACCGGGCTACAAGAAACAACACAAAACAACATTGCAGATACATAAGAGACATGTAACCTCAACGGCAGAGCTAAGAAGTCAGCCACTTAGTTGGAAACCAAGGCGTACCCTAACAACGCATGCAGTGGTAGTCCTATCACTCCTATGACAATGTACAACCTACATACACAACAGTGACTTGGCAAACATTGCATAGATGCATGCTCATAGTAAGTGGAGCAAAGCACGGGGCATGGCAATGAATAATGGAGCGGAATCAGACCATGGCAACATACCAGTTCAACGACAGGGACGAGTTAGTACAAGATATTCCCATAGTGCTGCGCAGCTCTGCAGTGCTTCATAGCACCAGCTACACAACCTGGCAATGCTCAAAGTCACTTTGACATATCTCCATCAAGTGTGCCGACAATATGTACAAACTTCCTTGACAGGAGCGATCTGGTCCACCGGAACAATGACTCCTTACATTTCTTGATACGCAACCACACCAAGAGATCGGCAGTACACCAAAAGATCAGCAGCACTTCCTAACCTTTCTCTTCCTTGGGTTCTCCAGAACAGGTTTAGTGGGTGATTTCACTTTCTTGACAGGTGAGGTCACTTCAGCCTTGATAGATGTCTGAAGTAAAAACAATACGAGAAACAGTAAGGAGAAGTATTAGTACATGAAAAGGAAACATACACCCATACACCCACACCCACACACCCACACACCACCACCACCACCACCACCACCACCACCACCACCACCACCACCACCTATCAGATAGCAGTAAAACTAATTTGCCAATGTTGAACTTGATGATAGCACTAAGCATGAACACAGACAGAGGGTGCAACTCCGCACAAGGGTCCAAGGCAGCACATAATGTAATAATGTTGAAAACACATGTGGTTATTATCATACACCATATACACACTCACCCCATTGGATGAACCTGCACAGGCAAAAACAACAGCAGGAAAGCAGGAAAACGCAAACACACACATCAACAAACGTACAAACAAACAAGCCTGGCAATTAATTATTTCCTCTTCACCTGGGAGTTACTAGTATACCATCAAATGAGGATACGGGTGAGCGCAACCACTTAACCTTTTCCACGCCAGCTACGCATACACCGCAATGCTCCAAATGTACACTAATGGCCAACGTTGCGTGTGCGCGATGCACAAGTACTACCTATCCACATGGGCTGCATCGTATGGAGCCTCCTGGGACTGCCAGACTGTCCTCACTGCCTTTGGGACACGTTCAGGTATCCATGAAAATGCAGGGAGACCGAAACAGCGCGTGGCATGTGACAGTAAACTCGGTACCGACTATGTACTGTTTTGTTTCGCCAGGTGACAATTGGGCCAGGTGCATTACTGGAAAGGGTGAGCGATACAGGCTTCGTTGCCGGACTGCCCATTCCAGTCGCCATTGAGGCAGAGACGATCCATGCACATTCGCATACAGCATGACTGGTCTGGGCCACATCCGGGATCAGCAAGCCGCAGCCGCAATCGCGTGTAATATAGTTCGGGCATCAAATAGAGCTTATAAATCGGGGGTCGAAGCGCAAATCCTTCCAGGAGCTATGGTCGCGTGCTGTCTCCCTAGATGCCACAGCTCCCTGCTGCTCATCAATACTACCTTCCAACAGATCTTGCTCTAACAGATATAACCTATTCTAAGAGAATAACATGTAGGCGTCACATTGTATCAACAACACTAAATTTGAGAATTTGAGAACGCACGTGCTTGTTGCCAATACCAGTGACAAGACGAGCAGCTTGGGTAAATCATGACATACAAGAACGTCTGGGTAAAGTGTGGAATATCCCATGAGTAATAATCCAGATCGGGTGCTCAGGACCATACATGACAAGTAAAATTACCTACAAAACACAAATACCATCCACCAGATCATACATGTGTCAGTATCACAAGATTTCGATTTCGTGAAATTCAAATCTCAATGAGGTGCCCATTCAATAAACTCACTCGTACTTCAAATTGATAGGTTTGAACTCTACGATCGCATAAATACCTTGGGCCAATTTCCATCATTGGGAACAACTGAAAATTCGGTCACTTTCAAACAATGAAATGGACAATGAACCGCGTTACTTTCGTCTTGGGACCCATGCCACATCAGTATAACAGTGCCAATGCTTACCATTCACTGCAGATGAGACAGCGGCGGATGGTGGCTGTGTCACGATCATGAGAATGGATGAGAAGAAAAATACCTTCAGTCACAATTCAATTCAATCAGGAATCTTCAAATATTCAATGTTCAAGCGAAATGTGAAAAAAGTTCACATAAGTTGGGAATGTGTTGAATGAGGGTGCTGCTACGTGGCAAAGTGAGATGAGCATTGGTGGTTTAGGCAAGCCAGTATATTGAACTGACCGCTTACCTCCCCAGAAACAGCCTGATCATTGGTAGTCGCCATACTTCCTCCACACGCGAACGAGAGAGAAGCTGACAAAGTCGGAACAAGGACAAGTCCCGAGAACAAGTTTTTGGCGCATGCGTCGTACTCATACCCGTTCACTAACACAGTTTTGCTGTGCATTGGTTTGGTTCACCTTCACTTGAGTGGTTCTGCATTTTTCGTGTCCATATCGGCCGGCATAATGCCTTGATTTGTGTGGGTGTGTAGAGCTTCGAGATTGTTTCGATGGAAGTCATATCTACGATCGTACAGTATGTAGCTGTGAAAGAGACATAGATCTACTACTAGTAGTAGTAGCCGAGACTTGCGGTCACTGAATGGACGCCGGCTGTATGCTTGCTGGCTAGCTGCTCATCTTGCTGACATGGCCTAATAATATCATAAAAATATAAATACTTTGCATGTACTAGCGTTTCGGAGACAGCAACTTCAATAATGGCAATCAAGAGTACTAACTGTGCGGTAACCATGCTTTATTACAATACTAGTAACAAACATGAAGAGAATTGGTGAGCACACATGCTCATTCCCGGGGAACTGCAAATTCACAACTCATTTTCATTTCACAAAATCATTTTCAACGTTTCGGCAAATTGCCATCATCATGTCAGGATGCAATCATGATGAAGTGGAAGTCTGCCAACACCTAAGAACACCAAATAACTGCTCTTACAATACACTATACAGTTGTACATGTATAATATTTCTATGTCCATACATGTTAGCTCAGTGCTAGGAATATGACATGTCTAAAACTAGTGAAAGATCACAAGATAAAATACCGTCACCTAGATAACCAGTGTGGTGTGACTGTTTTAGAGTAATGACCATCCAGCACTGGTGTTGATCTCTGGCAGTCTGGGCCTTCGTTTCTGATCTCCACCAGTGGCATATGAGTCAATGAAAACTTGTGATCTTTCACTAGTTTTAGACATGTCATATTCCTAGCACTGAGGTAACATGTATGATGTAGTCATAGACATATCAACACCTAAGAACACCAAATTATTGTAGGGTATATAATTATAAGTGCTCCTTGGGCCCTTGGCAGACTTCCCGTGACTTCATGATTGTATCCTGATGATGGCAATTTGCCGAAACGTCGAAAATGATTCTGTGAAATGAGTTGTGAATTTGCAGTGCCCAGGGAATGAGCATGTGTGCTCACCAATTCTCTTCGAGTTCATCGGATGAAGCTGCAGGATGCCTCACCGCTACTTCGTTAGTGACAAACATGCGAGAGCAATGTGAATGCATGATGTAAAAAGAAGAAGAAGAAGTGTTCACAACGGTTTTCTCGTCACAAGTGCGATCTTCAGTGAACGTAGCACTATAATGTACATGTAGTAACTTTGGATGGAATACTAAATCAAACACTGTCATAGGGAGCAGAAAGAGGTGCGAGAAACGAAATAGAGAACAAAGCCACTAGTCTAGAATAGCCTAAAAAAAAAACTAATGATGAGCACTGAGGAAGTCGAGAGAAACCCGTTCTGAATACTGTAAACCGTATTTTCTCTGATAAGAGCCCGGTGTTCTTATTTTTTCACTGACAGCGAGACTGGGCTATTCATATGATGGGAGACTGGGCTCTTATTTTTTCAATTGTCAACTATCAAGCCAACTACAGTCTATACAGGCATAAACTGACCGTATCAAGACTGATTTTTCAGCCCTAAACTCTGGAATATTGTCACTGAAACAGATGTTTCACAATAGCATTGGCGCCAGCCGCCAGGAAGGAAGCAGTAGACCGAAAACCTCCTTACAAAATGTTCTTGGCATGTTGTACTGCTGCCACGGTTTATACGACTACTTGTCCGGCCGCAAGCAGCAGATCCTCATCTCGCCTTCAACCAGCCCTGCTCTGGCTTGCACCTGCGGAGTGCCCCAAGCCCGACCAAGGCTCTGTTCTCGGCCCTGTCCTCTTCAGTATACACATGAGATGTCCCTTTGGTTTCCTCGCCTGTGCCAAGTGTACAATTTGCAGATGACATAGCCATGTACGACTCCCAGGCCTCAGCGGCGGAAGCGTCCAGAACCCTCACCACAGCGGCAACTCACGGCGGCTCTGGCCGGTTGGCTGAAGTCCCGAGGCCTCATCTTGAACGCCACCAAGAGCCAGGTTCTGACTATCTCTCTCCAGCAGCATGTACAGGAAGTAACAGTCAAAAGCGGCGACTGTCTCTTCCCCTCAGCGTCTTCTGCGCGCTACCTCGGCGTTCACCTTGACAATCGCCTAGATTGGGACACCCATGTAAACTATGTGGTCACCAAGGTCGCCAAGAAAATTGGCGCCTTGTGGCGGGCACGCCGAAGCCTATCAAGACGCTCTCGTCAGGTGTATGTGAAGGCGGTCATAATGCCCGACCTGCTTTATGGCTCCTGCTGCTTTTCAACCGCAATGCGAGAGGGTCAACTGAAACGACTGCAAACCGCGCAAAACAGAGCCATCCGCTGTATCGATGGCAACCCGCCCCGGACAGCCATGCAGCCGCTGCTCACTGCTCACTCCCTGTACCGTGTCAGCGAGCTCTACAGGCAGAAAATATTGATCACCATCTGGCGGTGCGCATCCACGCCCGCACCAGCCCTGTGCTCGCCCAGCTTCTGACCCCGGCACAAGGCACCCCTACCCGCCATCAGCAGTCAAATGGCCTACCAAGCCAGGCAAACCGTAGCCGCCGCGGTCAGCGGAGATTTTCTGTTGCTGGTGCTCTGCTGTGGAACGCTCTCCCTGGTGAGGTCCGCACAATTACCCGGCTACCTGAGTTTAAGCATACATGTGTACCATACGCCTGTAGGGAGTAGTTCGAGTTGCTGCTGATCGCTCTGCTCTCCCCCCCCCCCCGTGCAGTTCAGTAATCCTCACGTAGTATCACAGATACATGTACATCGTATTCTCTCTCTCTCCCCCCGTTTACTCGCAGTTATTAGTATCCTATTCTCTTACTATGTGCTTCCATAGCTTTTACTATGTTCTTCCATAGCCACTTCTAGGCTAAGCCTTCGCCGTCATTTTATTGGGTCGTCATCCCGTTTGAATGTGCGAAGTGAAATAAAAACCAACCAACCAACCATAATTAATTAATTAATTCGACGGGTTCGCGTACCGGGCAGGTCAAGAACAAGGAGTCGTACAACTCCCTGGTCAAGAACCACCTTTCCGCTTCCGTGGGACGCCACCACCCCATGATCAGGCGTCAGATGCGGCTCCTAAACGGTGGGGGAGGATAGATCAGATCCACCAACCATAGGCCAAAGGCCTAAATCCCATTTGCCACATCCATGATTTACTCATGCCAGGCCACGAGTTCCCAATTAACTGTGGGTCGCAGCACGGTTGGAAAAATCCTTCCGCTTCCAAGCAGGACTTGAACCTGGTACCTCTCGTTCATTAATCATGGTCTTAGACCAACCCACTGTGCCTGCCTGCCTACCAACCATATGCAGTCAAAAATTATACTTGTTGTGACCCGCGCTACTATTTAGAGTCTGTGCTCTTATTATTTTAAACCAACCTCACCCCGGGTCATTATTGGAGACCTGGGCTATTATCGGAGACCTGGGCTTTTCGAGAGAAAATTCGGTAAAGCAGAAATATTCGTCTGGAATTTAATTTCGTCGTTTTCGTCCAAGGAGCTTTTGGACTATTAAAATTAAATGCCGGACTAATGTCGATTTGTCCAGCTTTTCAATACACTCTTATGACCCATGGACGAAATTTACAACAAGACGGCAACGTCTGTAGGGCCTTCCCTATCAAAATAATAAATTCTACTACTACTACTACAACCGGACGAACTCCCTCTCTTTGGAGTTTATAGACGAAATTATTGACCGACGAAATGTTCTGCTTGTACAGTACTTCTTCTTTTTACATGTACATGTACTTTTAGTAAGTTACTCGTGGAGTCATGATGCAGGTCTAGACTAGTCCTTGTGGCCGGCGTGGGTAGACCAAGACTGAGAGATTGTCAATATTTTTATTTGTCATGGTATTTCCTGTGTTGACCAGCATTTTCAACGGCATGTTTGAGCAACACGAGGTGGTTGATATAGGCAGTGGCAGTCTGATCCCACTTCAGAAACCCAACAAGCCGCTGGGACCACCATCAAATTTACGTCCGATAGTTCTTCTCAACACGCTGCGGAAGACCCTGTCACTCCTCACTTTAGCTCGAGTCAGACCCAAGGTTGACCAGTACCTAGCCCAGACGCACAGCGGCTTCCGCCCTGGCCGATCCACCGCGGATGTGGTATGGGCGCATCGATGGCTTGTGGCAAAGACCCAGCGCTACCACAGCACCGTTCACCTGTTGGGCATTGATCTGTCGAAGGCTTTTGACACGATCAAGCGAGACACCTTGCTGACTGTTCTGGAGGCGTTTCTGAGTGACGATGACGTTCGCTTGATCAGGGTCTTGATCTCTAACACCAGACTTCGTGTTCAGCTTGGGAGGTGCCAGTCGGAATCATTTGCTACAACGAAGGGGACGCCACAGGGGGATTGCCTTTCCCCCGTTCTCTTCACGGTTTACCTGGAGGCTGCGCTCCGACAACTAAGGCAAGAGGTGCCAGCAAGACCTCTCAGCGACAACGGTCTGCCGCTCGAACTTGTATATGCGGATGATGCAGACTTTGTCAGCACCTCAAAGTCCTGGCTGGCGGACGTGGAGGCGACTGCCAGCACGGTGCTACCACAGTGGTCCCTGATCATGAACCGGGACAAAACTGAGTATACGGACATCTTCAGAAGTGCGGACAGGATCGATGAAGAGTGGAGGACAACGCGCAAGCTGGGTTCGCTGCTGGGCGACGAAGAGGATATTATGCGACGAAAACAGCTGGCGACTGCAGCATTTCAGTCCCTATGGAGCCTCTGGAAGAGGCATCAGCACATCAGCGAGAAGTTGCGTCTGCGGCTGTACAGCACTTTTATTGTTCCAGTACTGACGTACAACTCGGGTACGTGGGGGGTCAGTGTGACCGTTCTGTCTCGCCTGGATTCCTTCCACCGCCGTCAGCTAAGGTCACTCATCGGTGTGAAATGGCCACAAATAATACCGA